GATATAAGAGCTTCACGCAACAAGGAGCCTGTAAGTTATTCTCACTTCCAATTAGAGCATAGTTTGCATGATTTCCACAAAACTCATTTGGCTGAAATGATTTGGGGAATATATAAAAATTAGGCCCAAAACAAAAAATCAGCGCTACGGTCCTTGAGGCCATCCGTCCTCAGGGCTCTTTGTGCTTCACGATTTACATCGGTCTCACTAAAAAGAGAAAGCAGGCTTAATAAAGAAAGCTACTCACAAGTTTGCTAAAAACTATTTGGCAGCCCATGGTCGGTGTCGCCCTTCTCGGAGCTAATCAGGTAGGTGCAGTCCCCGAACAGCTGCACGTTACAAAATATCAGATGTGTCATGAAGCTGGGCTTTCAACTATATGACGGAAAAAGACTGAAACTGACTGGTTTTCTGTTATGCAGACGATAGACGAAAGTTAAGAACGAATAAGAACCTAATAGGTTAGTTAATAAATACTGACAATTTTTTACCGTTATTCTTCAGAATGCATCACCAAGCAACACAATGAAGTGATAATTTACGGAAAAGATGAGCTTCAACCGTGGATAAACTCTTTTTGAGGTAAACGTCTCGTCTAGCAGAGATGACTGATAATGCCGCCAACACGGAGGCGATGTCAGCCAGAATTCACTAGAATAACAGTCAAAAGGATATTTCGTCCATAGTTCCAAGTTAACATTGTAGAGAATGCACTCTGTAATACATTGCTGGAGTGATATGCTCTACACTGTGACCCCCACAACAAACATATCATGGTCCGTGTCTGCCATGCCGGTTGTCTAAATAAGTAAGTTACCTGAACCGATAAATCAGAAGCAGACAAGGTTCCACCATTTCATGTTTCTAAGGGTTACTTCTGCTACTCATAAAATTCGTGAAGCCAGTTGCGTGATCGTCGAAGCATCAAGAGTGTGAAACCCTTTTTTCCAAGTGGGGGAAAAATACTGGTGCATCCAGCATGTTGACTGGTCCGTCTGAATAGATTTGGATTAAAAATTATTCACCAGATTTTCTTTTTCATCGAGGCACAGCAGAACCCCTCACTTGTCTTGGCTCAAGAACTTGAAGTATCAAGTATCTACTTATAGCTGTTTGCACAGCCGTGGTTATCATGGTTTCTACGCATTGCAAAAGTTACAAAGGCTTAAGAGGCAGGTTTACGAAGAATGTTTGCTTTCTCCGCTAAAAGAGTGCTTAGTTTTGGTTGGTCAAAACAGGGCTAACGTTTTGGAGGCACATTTTGGATCTCGTGCAATCTGTCTGCCCCAAAAGTTATCTTTATTGTTTTGTTATTATTGGTATTTTTATTATAATCAATTATTGTTACGCCCTTTTTATGGCACAGATTGAGTAGCGGGTGACTAAGACAGTTTAATGAGAGAGTCCTTAGATCACTGGCATGGCATAAGGCTAAGAAAGCTAACAAACACTGAGAGCTATAGTCAAAAATACTGAAGAAACACAAACGACATGTGTATATCGTAGCGGCATGGAATTAACCGGGTTGGTTCGTGTATTAACCAGAGGCTTCCATATCGGTTCATCATCTCAATCATATTAGCTGTTTATCGCAGACGGTTTGTGTGATCAGATGAATTACTCCTCTTAGTTAATGAGGGATTAGAAGTTGTGCAGGAAAGTTTCAATAGGGCTGATCTATTACTTTTGTCTTATTCTACATAGCTATGCATTAGGAGAAAAATCAACAGAGACATCGTTTCAGGAACGTTTTGAAAAAAATCTGGTAGGCTTACTCTTGAGTAACATTTAGTTTTGAAACAAATGCTTCGTTGTACCGGACCAGTTCTGGCCAGGCTTCAAGACAGAGGAGAATCAATTATCAAAGTCCCCTCCTATTGATAGGCCAGATCAGAGGTATGGATCTGCTTAGACAGTTCATTCGTAGATATAGTCAAAAAGTGTCAAGACGGATGTAATGGTGTGAATCTATATAAGTTCGAGTCGAGCTGAGTGTTTAGTTTTTCGAATCCCATTTACGTAAATATTTCTGTTGGGTGTCGATCATGGTGTCCGTTGATCTGTTCGGGTGACCTAGTGCTAGTAAACTTGTACAATAGGCAGGGATTACACAAAATTTGGTCCATTTTGGCCTTCTGCTGAAAACTGTACTTAATTGGTAACTGTACAAAACCATGTATCAACTCGTTTATACTTCCATACTCTTCCATGCTTCCATACTCTTGACTGCACTACACTCTCTAGTTTTTTTGACTCTGGAATGCTGGACAAAGTCCATTGTCTTGGTTACCAACCGCTGTGACGTGAGTCGAGCTCTCACCTTTAACCGTCGATTTAGAATGGGCGGACGAGAAGTTTTAAATGGCATCCGAGTCTGTTGATTGCTGGTAAATAAGCTTATTATGTTTCTCACGTCCTTGTTTGTCATGCACTTCAGGAAGGACATTTTGCTTCAGGTAGACTCCAGCCTAATGCTTAGGTTTTTTTGAAGATTCAAAGCATCGAGATATTTGCAGAAAAGATGGACCTCATCACGTCTGATCATCGCCTAAGTGTCACCCATTTAACGCCAAAAAGGGGGTCTGTGGTCATCCGATCAGAGCCTTTTGTTTCCAGTTCTACGTGTAAAAAGATGCAAAAGTCGGGGATAATGGGATTCATTCGTTTATTCTTTTTCCTAAAAGTGCATAAATTAGTCAAGTTTCGAGTGTGTTGCTGTACTTTATTTCACCCATCAAAGGCTGAGTTCGAACCCACGCGTTGTATTCGCTTACAACAGCCTTTCGACCGCTGCCAAACCGTCTCTATATCAACGTTGCCATATATTGAGTTATTATCAGAGCCCTCTTAAAATTGACACTGACTATCATCCAAAATATCTGACTTTTTCAGAGGCGTATGTCATAGAATTTTGTACTGAAACTTTGTTTTGACACAAATTATAGGTTGAGAAATGCGGGTTGAAATCTAATTTTGTATAATCATCAATCGATAGAGTAATGGCTCTCTATGGGTGCGTTCTACCAAAGGATGGGACCATCAGAACAGTTTATAAACACTCATCTCACTTAATAATGCGCAGTCTTTTGTTTTTTACTGGCTAAACACCCCTTTCAGAACAGTGGATAATGCAAAGAAAGTGAAGGACTTAAAAAACACTGATGCTATTGTTTTATCAGTTTTTTTCATTACGGAATATTTTTATGCGAAAACTTTGCATACAATTCAGGTATAAATACCCGTATTTTTGAGAAACAAAGAGTTAAAATTCGTAGCCAGCATTTTCACATCACAGCAAGCTAGTCTCTAACGGCGGCCAACTAAGTCTTTCTCCTCGATCAGAACTTGGCAGGTGTGGGTTTCTGGATCTGGCCTAAACAATCCATGCTTTATCCTTATATTACTGAACCAAAACTTTTTTCGCTCATTGGATACGGATCAATCAAATTACATTCGTTCATTCTTTCTTTTATGCCATTTCAACTAAACGGACTTTCCGCGATTGTGAAAGCTAGGAAAAACGGACCTATTTAACGCCAAAACTACCTTGTCAGAAGTTAACTTCCAGTTTCGTGCTAAGTCATTGACACTCGTTTGCGTTTTCTAGTAAGCTTTTTTGCTTAAGGATGTTAGCTGGTTATTCATATGCTCGGTTACTTTACTGCCACGTTTGGCCTGTTAATTAGTTGTACTGACCTGAATTCACGCAATTTCTAGAGTAAGAAAACAGTTGCAATGCCTCCATTCTGTATATTAACCTATGAGAGTCAGTCCTCAGAGGTTGTAAAAATAATACAGAACAGTCTGGAGATTTTCATGCCGAATAATCACATCACGTCCCCAGTAGGCCTCCGCACCATCTGCAGGCCCTCTCTTAATACTCTTGTTCCATAAAGTAATGAGCTAAAGTACTTGGAAACTTGTTAGAGGGACATCTCGAGGTGGTCGTGCCCTAGTTTAGATCGGATTCACCTTCAGAAATATTATTCGGGAATTTTAGGGTTAGATCTTTTTTTAATGAATGGAAAAAAACTTTGAAGAAAATTGTCCTGCTTTGGCGTTCTTTTGGTGAATAACACCTATGAACCATTAAGGGAGCATGAGAGATAAGACACCAAAAGGCTGTGAAAGTTTAGAAAGCGGCGCTAAAAAACCCAGGGTTTGTTAGAGCCTTCCAACCTTCGGACTTTCCAGCTGTTGTTCTGGGTGAGCCCTTAAGGCGGTTTTACTACTCCCATCCGAGAAATTACTATAGATACTTGGGGGTTTTCAGACAGTTTTTAAGTGCTTCGTTGTTTTTGAATAATCGTAGTTTGTTTAAGCGTGATTACTGTGGGTTTGAATCGGGCAGCGAGACCCGAAGCGCATGAGGACTTGGTAAGCTGATACACCCACCATCCTTTTCGGTATAAATAAGTTTTTACCACTGCCATTTTCTCTGAGACTGTCACTCCTATATTGCCGCGGAGTATTTTCTCTGAGATAGATACCTGTCAGTAAATCGAGGTTCACAATCATAACAAAATGACAATATACTGATACCCGTTATTGTTTTCGTATTGGATATGTAAATCCAATCAGTTTCGCTGCTACTTTTAACCGATCAGTAGTGATACTTCACCTTGGAAGCCATCGGGCCGGAAACTTTCTGTAAATAGATGACCGATTCGTATACTCAGAATAACTGATCATAACCAATGTGCGAGTCTTTTGACTTTGTTTGGAGGGATACTACGGCTAACTTTTCAAACGAAAATTGTTGGCATGCAAAGTACCATGTTGTCCTAAATGGCAATAACTGACTAATTGATATTCTCACATCTGGTGTTACAAATGCCCCCCCCCCCTATTTGACGGAACCCAGTCTCGTTGTATTTCAAAAAGTAACCAAGATTGTTTTCAAATTTTGAGTTTCATGCCTCAACCTGCAAGCTTATCCGTTTCAGCACTCCGGATATTCCCGCCAGCACTGACATCGAAGAAGGCAGCTTGTTTCCACAATGGCTAGCTTAGCCAACCGATTTTCCAGGGAGTCTCACACGACCAGGTTAATCGATCTGAATCTATCTTACCATACTTTATCTCAGTGCAACCGATCAGAAGGTCGAATCCAAACTGAATGTCAGGGATCTGGAGGCCATTCAGGAAGGATTCTCAGTAACGTCGACCAGCGCAGGCCTTGCCTTACTATAATCTTTCCTAGTGTCCCGGCAAAGGCTATGACAATAAACTTGCGCTCAACAAAGAGCAATTTACCGAGGCACTGAGCCTAATCTTGAATCGTGGTACAAGACAAGAGGTTGAGCATATCTCGACTCGACTTACAGCTCTTTGTTCTAGTTTAATGATTTATTCGATAAAATTGATATAACCGGAGACGGCCTGGTTGATTGGGACAAATTTGCCTCACACCTGATGTTGGAGTTTTATGAAAGAGACGATCGCATGAAGAAACTAAGCGTACCCCAATGGAAGGATCTGAAAACTCTAAACAGGTGGGTGAGAGTTTGAACTGTATCCATGACATTTTTCTCAGTCCACACAAAGATGCCATTCAGAAAATTGTTTTCATGAAGAATATGTCACGATATCTAACAGTGAGTAAGGTGAGTAGTGTCTGGATTTGGGCCATCTTTACTCCAAACTACCTAGGAAGGTCTAGTGACAATGTGGGGTTTGGATATGAAGCCACAACGATCAGCGAAAGCAACAACTGATGCATGCCGTCCGCGTGATCTGTGGGTTACCGATTTTGCTGTGATGCCAAACATAAATAAAATTGCTGTGGCTTTTACCAGCAAAGAAATTGGTAGGATTTCGACAGTCTCTTTTAGCGGTGTACTTTGTGTCCAGCGTTCTGCAACATCAGTATCAAACTGGAGCTAACTTGTCAGACAAAGCTTTGCGATATTATCGATACCCCAATTTGTTTGGATCACTGGTAAGTTCTTATAGAAACAGGTTCTCTCATAGTGAAGTGCCTGTGATTATATTTCTTGTTAGGTTGATTTCGGCTCCTTTGACATACTACCAGTCCCCCGATATCTGTCATCTGTCGAAGAGGTCTTGTTCAAAAACGGATTTATTCAAAAACGTTCATAGGGCTGTTTCACGTATGAGGGGTGGCCTGAGCGGCTAAGCCGAACCGAATATCTTATGCAGAGCCCATATCACAAGGACAAATAGAACCGTTGAAAGGACGGAATTAAAGCGTGTAAGCTGTGCCAGTCTGGTGACAGAAGAGAGAAAGTTGACATTTCTTTGATACTACTGAAGACAAGGGAAAATAACGGTAAACAACAATATGATGAAATAGGTGCAAAAAACTACCAAATTAGTGAACGTTTAGTTTGTGTACAAAGACAAAAATGACATACTTAAACTTTCTCGGGACTGGTAGACTTTGCCTGTGCTTGAACGTCAAAATCGCTTTGCGATCACTGATGATTAATGTTAGTCAACAATCGATTACACAATGCCATACCCTTTTGTTACGGGTCATTTCTTTACGTACAGGCCTACTCTTGTCCCTAAGCGTCGAGTTGTTTCATCGACTCAAGGTCAAATTGGAGTGAGATATTTTCGGATAGTTTTGAAATGTACATAGTTTGCTGGAAAAATATCATTTGAGTAGCACAGTATGCACGTTTAGTTTTGCAATCCAACGACACTTTATAAGGGACAAAAAGCAATCTCACCATAGATTAACTGGATTTTTGGGAATGGCTAAAATTCATTGGTGTGTAGGCTAAAGGCTGAAGGATGAATTACTTCTCCTTGAACGGCAATGGGTAAGCATCCTCAACCAAACATAACTTCGCTTATAATGTCAGCGGTAACAGCGTAGGAGAGCCTGATCCTCACCATTTTCGTTGAATAGGGGCAAATAGCGCTCACTCTGTCTCATGGGACGAATGTTTGGGTGCGCGCTTTGCGAAATCACCAGGGCCTAAACAATGCATCCATATATCTTTTGCAATTCATCTGATCGGTCACTTCAGATCTCTTCCAGTGGTTGTATGTGTTAGAACACGCATCTTCATTTCGACCAGCCTGATAGTTCTCATGATTGACGAGGTAACATCCCAGCGTGAGGGAATGACACGTGTGAACCAGCAAAAAACGCGTTGCTTTATGATGTGACAACAACTGTGGATTTCTGTATCAATGACGGTGCGTCCGTAAATCAATGTATGCTGAACCAATCCTTGAGAGTCTTGTTTTATGAGGAAGTCATTCAAACAAACAAGGGTATGAAATTCAGGTGCGCGGCGAGTTGACTCCGTCCTCAGACCACCCACGTAGGAATATCCCTTTAACCGATCAAACAGCTTCATTGTAATTAAAGGTGACAATCTGCATTGGCCTCCACATGTTTTATAATTCTAATTATTCCAATCCTGAAGGCATCCGGTTGTGGCTGAGCAATAGAGAAATGAAGCTTGGTAGATAGAAGTTGTGTTATTTCATCATAGTTATACCAACTTGAATGATCCAATTAGGACTGAACCAGCCCAAGTTCATTTGCACAGAATTCGGGGTGGATATTCTCCAACAGAAAGGGAACTATATTTTGGTCGCGTAATTCATGCCACTTGGTCGATCAGGGGAGGCACAAGCCAATGTTGATCGCCTGGGACAATGCTCCCTGGTAAGCACTACCACAAATAACCGGCGTTATTCGGCTACAAAATCAAGGCTATTGAACTATCGACATGGCGATAGGATAGGATATAGGACGACTGACATTCAGCGGATTGCACAAACGGCATGTGACGCTACCTATCCTGTGCAGCGGGGCATCGGCACAGGTTCGATGTGAGAAAAATCCGGAAAAGGCTAAGAGAATATCGTAAATATTTTAGGTGGTATTCATACAGTATTTGACCTTTTGAGTGCAATGTCGACTTTTTGTGCTAGGCATATCCGTATGTGGTGATTTATGCAGAACCAAGGGGCAGGATCAGACATTATCAGACTTCTTTACAGAACAGCGTGTCATGTGAACGATCGGCGATATATCGCAACATCCTTGTGCACACGTGTTGGGCTTTTTGCCACAGGATCTATATCTGCTAAAATTTACTCCACTGGACTTCATCTGCTGCGTGGGATGAGACCACTCTCAGTCAGCTATTCGTCGAGGGAGAACTTCCTGAGTAGTGGAAACGTCGGATATTCTTATCCAATTCGTTCGCTATGGATCAATGGACCGCAGTGCCTAAACTCTTCCAACTACTTCGGATTCGGTTATTGAATGACTTCACAATATTTGTTGTCCTTTTACCCATTTAGGTACAATCCAGAGAACCCAAACGAGTGTATTCTCGCTTGGGGTGATGTCGGTGGACACCTGAATGCGTTGTTTTGGTCACAGGCTGCAATTAACCTGTTTGAGAAACCTTCAGCATTGGTCAATGAAAAAGAAGGTAAGAAGAATTCATGTGTGTTTCTGAATGCGCGCAAGTCTAGTATGAAATATCACCGCCACAGTTCTGGATATGTATCTCCCAGGCTAGTAGCGCCTCTGAAGCAGTTCTACTGGATTTCGAAGGCAATAAAATCCTGACCTTTGAAGTTCGGATGAATGGACAAGAAACTACGTAAAAATCGAAAACATCTAGGAACACCGCGATTAGTTTTTGTTTCCATAGGGCCTCCAGTTGTACAAATGGTTAGATTGGAAGGCTGGAGTTCCTCTATAAAAGCAATTTTAAGTGGATGACACAAGCCGCTTCATACAAGACGACCCCTGCATCACGACTGGGTTCGTTATTAAAGCTTTAAAAACCTAACACTACGGTTCCTAAAGTTAGTGAACAGGTCAGTGAAAAGCATCTACAGTGGACTGAAAACAGCACACTCCACCTCATATTTTCACTGGTGACAAGGAACAAGTAATCTGAAAGACCAATCATTTAGAGGTACTTCGGTTCAAAGACATTGAAGTGTGCAGTGTGTTATGTATCACCGTTATGCAGACAGGAATACTTCCGTTTACAATTTTTCGGGGCAAATGAACTTGCTACCCATAAATAAACAGCACAGACGTAACTGATGAATGAAAACTCTTCGACAACCCACCACCGGTTCCGACCTTAGTGGGGCTCATCAATTAGGCATCTTCCTCAAGTTTCCGTCAACCTTATCGGATTTCGCTGGAATCACTCATGTTTCCCGTCAAAACAATTAGTATGCAACTGAGAGTAGTTCGCCTACATCTTACGGACTCGTGCACTTGCCGAATTTGCAGGTGTTGTATCTCAAAGGTGGGCTTCAATAAGAGCGACAATAGAGTGCAGCAAATCACCCCCTTTGCTGTAAAGTGGACGAAATAATTGGGTCAGAACTGGAGGAAACGATTGTGACGCAGATTTAACCTCTAGGTTTTAGATTTACCCGATTCTTCTCACGAACAGCAAAGGACATCTTTAGCGCTTCTGAGAGATCAGCACAAAGTTAAAGCTCCTAACTGACAAAATCTTGGTCTCTGTTTTGGCTTGTCAGGCAGAGTATGAATCTAAACAATAACAATCTGTACAAGATGATTCTCTGAAAGTTTCAACGCCAATGTCAGGAACCTTTATCCCGTTGACTCAGGAGTTCCGTTTAGTTTAACAGAGCTTTCCATCCTACAAATGAAGTCAACCTATAGTGACCGAAATTCGGGGAGCAGTTCGCATTTGACGAATACCATGGTCAATTCAAACATGTGACCTTCCGGATGGTACCTGAAGATTGAACTGTACTGCCATGGATGGGTGATTAGTAGCGTGCTTAAAGGACACTTAGAATACACTCTTATCTTCCTCTCCACCACCTGAACCATACTATGCAGTCACGTGGTCACTGACCGCTCTATCTGGTACGAATAAACGGTCAAACCTTTTGGCGCCCAGTTACCTTGCCACCAGAAGGAAGCGTGAAGGCTGAGATGTTAGTTGTTGACGGAAGCTTAGACAGGAGCGTTCGGGGGCTTCATAGATCTTGTTAAGCGTTTTCCTTTACCAACAGAATATTTAGTTGCACGGTCGTCTTACGAGGTTTCGATATATTAATACGCATTTAGTACTTCAAGCTGAGTCGGTCTATGTTGGAAACTAGAAAAAACTGTAAAACTCTTTTGCCCTTACGAATGAGCATTAAACCAAATGTAAAAAATGCTTAATTATAATTCCTTTTGTTTCTCATATATCAGAATCCACATTCAACGTATCGCTCAGTGATATCATACAGAAAGTCGCCAAAACAGCAACATATTTACGCGTAAAAGTACACTCCGACTGGGTGCGTCAAGGTCAGTCTCCCTAGTTTGTCACTGACCACTTACTATTTCCACTAGTGAAGTACATACCCCAATTGGAAGCCTTTATGACCTGTGCTACGGTGTGGAACAGCTCCCTCGTCATTTCGTGGTTGGAGAAACTACCGCCTGTTTCAGCGGCAGGCAGAGCACCAGATCAACTGTGAGTTAATTATTGCTTACCCAGGTAGAACTTGCTCATTTGCGTCTTACCTCAGTCAAGGTTGAATACAGCATTTGACATTATCTCCGTTATCAGTTAGTAAAAGTTGAAAGCTCCACAATTGGTTGAAGTTTCAAGTTATGACCCTAATTTCCCCTTCAAATATTCTTCTTTTACATATATTTTTATTTTTATAGTTTATACCATCTGGCCATTTGAGAAGAGTTGAGTGAAGTAGCCCCTCTAATCCAGCAGACCAAAACAGCAAGATTAGTGCTACCGCGAATCCATCACATCACTTTTGCCTCCCTCAACAGACTGGTTATGGTAGTCATTTCTGTAAAATCAGTATGGACAATCGATCATCCCTTTTCCCTCTGCTAGGTCACTCGTCCGTTTCAGAGATGCCTGACAGCTAGCAGCATCCTGTTGCTTCGCACAACTAGGCTTGTGAAAAATGTCTTCAGAATATAAAGTTAATCCACAATCCAAGACAATAAATTTTGGATATTCTACTCCGGGATTCTAATACTCATTTGTGTGAATGAAATCAAACCACTACCCTCGGGAAACTTATTAGTTACTTAGAATACCACGAATCTGAAGAGACTATACTGAAAGTATCACTTGTAACCATTGTTCTCTGGATACAGCATCGTGAGGAACTGTTACAAAAATAATGAGGCATAATAGACATCCACTCGCAAATACGAATTTAGCCATTAGTTCATAAGTGACCTAATTTTAATGAACTAAATGAGCTGAATGAAGTGAATTGAATCTGGGCCCCATCTAGTGAATCTCCCTACTGTGTCTGCGCTATTATTTACATAAGCCTCATTATTTCTCATCTCTGATCTCAAAAAGTGCTTCGATGAATCACGTGAACCTACGCTTGGGATCATCGTCTAACAACGCAAACCGTTCATGAAGATTGAATCTAGTGATTATGTAGGAGGTGGTAATAGCCTCCCGTCATATTAAGGAAGTTCATTTTGATGATCTACATGGACGTGGAAAGTTAAGAATCGACTGACTTCCAAATCTGTTAATGTCAACATAAGAGCAGCAAGGAATATAGTGAACCGATGTGGGCGAAACTATTAGTAAAGCAGCATTACAACCAAGAGTTAATATGCGGTGAGTGGATTTTCACTTCGAAATAGAAGTCGGTGACTCTGTCAGTGATCTTCCCAAACGACTCGATTCCAATGTCTTGTGTTTTACTAATTCTTCTTTGATCTGTCAGTCCGCGTTTTTGTTAAAATAGGTGAGACAGTATTGTTGGGATCGCCGAGTGTGACGTATCACTTGTTGCTTCGTCTACTTTATAGCTTTGAAGCCACATTTAGAAACATAGCAATCATCTGAATAGCATCGGATCACCATAGATAATGGCCCGCATTTTTTTCCTTCCGTAAAAGCAACAACCACGGGGAACTGAACGCTGGCCTGTCCTGGGAACGGGTTCTCCGTGAGGAAAACGTGATTGTCCCATGTTGCTGGATGCAGAAATATTCTTCAAAATACCACAGAAATGCTTCCGAATACTTTTTTGAATTCTACCTGGTTCTTTTCTATACTTAGTTCACCTTCGAATACCATAGGGTTGCAAATAATCGTCCCCAAAAGCCTCAGAGGGAGCTTCTTTGTCGTTTGGCTTCTGAGTAATTTATTCGCAGGTTTGGACTGTGTTTTTTTTTTCAGAGTAAACTCATTGAAACCTTCAACCTGACCTTTGAATTGGTCTGAATCACAGCAGTGTCGTTACTTCAAATTGTCAGCAACCGAACATATGACTTTGGAAAATGATACAAAATTACCCTATCACCCTCAAAATAGTTTTTAATCAATTGTCTTCTCTTCGGTTATTTGTTTAGATGCCTTTATTACGTGACGCGGACTTCGTTTGTATCTCCCCGAACTAAATTCCCATGAAAATTTTACCCACGGGCTGGGAATGTACCGAGAATTCAACCAGAGTCGGAACTTTATTTACCAGTATCCTGGCTCCGCCAAGACTCAGAATTTGCTTCAGTAGGATAAGCCTTTCAAGAGGTGACAAACCCCTATACATATGGGTGAAAACGTTCACTCTTGACTTTCACAGAAATTGAGAGTGTCATCTTCAATAGGATTACTCCAGCGGAGTTTCTATCGCCTGTATAAAGCTCCCACAGAAACTTTCTAGCCCTTTTCTTCCGAACTTTGTGCCTGATTAGAAATAACATGGATGTTTGTAAGTGTGGATGCGGCCAAACCAAAAACAGGTTGAAACTGTTTATATATATATATCCCACTAGTTGTGCCCTAAAATTGAACTGAAACCTAAAAATTCATTGTACTTCTTTTCGACACAGTCCGGAAGCTCGTATCATTTCGCGAAGGTAGGTTAACCCAGCCGGATCAGATGGTAAGTTATGTTTATCACGTCCGTTTCACAGCACAATGTACTGCAACTCTTCGTATTGTGTCTACCATGTTTCAGTTCTGTCTTCACAGTGCATCAGGGTATCAACGCGTTCGACTACCACGAGGGACAGAACCAGATCGCTACTGCCGGTGTGAACTACCATGTCTGTCTGTGGAACCCATACGTGGTGTCAAAACCAAATGGAGTAAGCCTCTAATGGAGTTAGAATGAGGTATTTGACTTTCAAGTTTTGACGAGTAACTCACGCCCGGATTCTAAACTTGTAAATATATCGAAAAAGCATCTTATTACAAACTAGATGCTAGATGCCACTGAATATTTAAACTTAGCGATTTCATATCCTTACCGAGAATCTCCCATCAATCACTAAGATGGATTATCTTGATTAGTCCCGAATTGTTCACCAAGCCGTACAGACTACTTACGAGCTTTCTGTCATTGGTAGTGAACTGTTGGTTGACAGTTTTATGCTCTTCTGTCTGTATTTACATGACAAGCAACCAGTACCCCCAGAACAGCAAATTCCGTGAACCTTGACAAATGTCATAGAAACGTCAGTGCACACTTATAATGTCACCTCAATTGGTGGTGAAACATTTGCAGTCCAATTGCGGAGTTCGGCTAGCATACCAACAACCAAGCAGTGCACCCGAGCTACCTACCTACCTGTATTCCGCAACATAGCAAAAAAGCATGACATTGAAATACCACTCTCCTGAAATTTAGCAAAACTAAGCTTTCCCTGAATGTAAATGAATTTCTCTTCTATAGGTACCAGCTGTCCAGTGCGGTCTGATCTATGCATTGGTTAGTTTTCCGTTTATTATCCTTGGGCTTAACACCTAGCTTTCGTTAAGAACCAGCCACTGATCTACATCTCTAGGCTGTCCACGGCCGACTTTGAGACTGGGTGGCTAATCGACTGCCAAAGTATCACAATGGTCAAAGTGGGGCTGTTTTGGACAGAGCTGACGCTTCACAACGTTATGCGTGCACTTTATATTATGGTCGCCGACCGAACCCAGCTGAGCATCCTGTGCTTCCGAAGCGTTTGGACCAGGTTTTTTATGGAAGGACGGTAGACACCAATCTAGCAACTTACCAATCTACTGCCACTCTCTTCTACAACACCCGGTCTTCTAATGAAGATAACTTTTTCCGTAATTGGGGAGTCCACTTAACTCTCACAAAATCACAACATTCAAAGCCTCTTAATCAGCCACCGTCATCAAACTTTTAATTGCTTTCTGATTGGTTTTTTAAAGTACGGTATGCGTGTCACCTAGTCTCATAACATTTTTGTAAACTAACGTCATAAATGGGCGACCATGTGAGTCCTGGGGAAGCTTTGGATAGAGGCGGGAAGCTTTCACTAATCTACCCCGTGGGTTTATGAAGCCACAGTTATTCTTGCGTTCACATATCCACTATTTCTACTCCCTCATCAAGGACATGTTTGTTGGAGTAGTAGACTCTTCTCCAAAATGAGGCACCGGTCCGAGTTGCTCTAGACAGTTCCCCTTTGAAGGATCTTCATCAAATGAAAAGTCAAGACTAATAAAACAGAATATGTGCTCGTGCAAATGAAAGTTTGAAAAATGAGAAGGTACGTCAACTCTAAAAAATCATATAGGGTAGAATAGCGCACTATTGTATGGATGCGTGATCGCATCACACAATATGGTCCATTTGGTGTTGATTTTGCACATGAAGTCACTTGAGCTACACCAGTGAATCCTCGACTAACCGCGTTGAGCTAGACTGAGAACTGTCCCACTAATGTCATCATAAGGATGGTTGAACGCAGTGCCAATTGGTTTGCCTTGTTATTCTCTGACTAAAATCGACCTTAATGACCGGCTTACATATGCACACAGCTCCTTCGTGGTCACATGGCGTCCGTCGTGGCTGTACAATTTCAACGTTCCAAAGGACGTTTAATCAGTCTGTCACGTGACCGTGTGCTACGTATCTGGGACGTACAGTTACAAGTGTGCCTACAACGCATGACAGGAGTATTTCCCAAAGGACTAGAGGGTATGTAATGCAACATATGCTAAACTAATTGTTCCTTTTGGTTTTGCATACACTGGCAATGGAGATCTTATCTCACCATAACCTTACTCCTAAATTTTTCGCTTTTGTTGGGATAACTTGAGCAATACCAAACGTGATAAAGTATGGCACCTAATGGGGGTCACATGCTGCCTTCAGGACAATTCTCGAAAAGGACTCTCTTTCGTTCCACTCCGTTTTTGTCACTTATCCATTTCGTTACCTGAATATTATCCAAATTAACAACGCTGCTAACTGCACGGTGGCAAGTGACGGATATCGTTAAATCGCAGCTGGTGGTGGAAAGAATAGGTCTGATTCATTCTTAGCAGAATAACACACTTTGACGTTTCCCATCCTCCAGGTTCTCAAAAATGACGTTACGGTTTTGTTACAGAAATTGGGTTCCGCAGTTTTCCGAGTATACACACCGCGCTTTGCCCTGATGATCAGATGACATTTTGTTCTAAAATGTGGAGTCTAATTCTGGGGGGGTCACATTTATGTAGCCACTTTCCTGAACCTTTACACTCCCCTCAGAATGAGGCAGACAATACGGTAATGTAACTCGAAATGGGAAAGACCACCGAAGTTTAGAAAATTTCAGGCCATAAAAAGCCCATTAGACAGGAGTCACACAAGATATCATCATTTGGGGAATGCTGTTAGTGCCTCATTCATTCATTTTTTGGGGGTTAGAAGAAATTTTCAGATGGAATACTTGTGGGTCCTCCAAAGCATGTGTACATGAGACCACCGGCAAGTCTCTCACTCACTCTGGCAGTTCGCCGCAATGCTGATCCAGATTGTTTCCGGTTCATGCCAGTTCGTTCTTGGTTGATCGATAATCACTTTCTAGGGGATGTTAACTCTGAGCATCCAGGTGCTCGGAGCTTCTTCTAGTAAAAGTCAGCCGCAGATGAAATGTTCCGTCTCACGTACAAGTCGTTGCATGACAGTTCTTTTGTGGGGCTTAATGCATTTTTTACTAGAATACGGACAGTTTTAAATGTCTAATTATTTTCACCCTGTGTACTGAAGGAACAGGAAATCACGGGCCATAGATTGCATGAAAGTGGCTCATCTTCGTAGGTCATGTACTTTTACGTAAGCCCAAAATGGACATTGACGAGCTTTCGCGGCGGTTACTTTTAAGAGACACGCCTAATAGAGAATGTCATTGCTGTTAGCCCGTGGTTCTGTTCAGAGTATAGAACGATCATCCTTTTCTACATCTTTTTGTCACAGGACTCTGGTTGCATACGTTTAATCACTACTGACGTTTTTATGGCCTATGTGTTTCCACCATGATCGTCGTTTTCGAATGAGTGGTGAAGAGGCATGAGACCGACAAGTGTTGGTAAATTGCACACACACCGTCACCCGTATCCCTTTGCTTTCTGAAAGAACCATGGTAAAACCAAACATTATGAAGTGTCGTCAATTTTAGGAGGTTCGCTTTCTCCTTTATTCGAAGACCCATCCTCAAAACTCACAGTTTCAGGCAATCAAAATAATTCGGATAATCATAGCTGACAGCTCCTTTGTTGCATAGTTTGTAACCCGCGAAGATACTGCTTGCTTTGCTGGATTGGATATTAATAGCAGCGGTAGGTGGCCTCTCGGTACCGTTCTTCTCTTTCTCCCCACGAAACCAGATCATCTCAACGGGAGAACAAAACTAGGTTTCGGCTCATTCAACTTTGTGCTATCAAACTTAGTTTATAATAGAACCTTTTATCGCTTACTTAGGAGAGCCAACCTGCTATTTGTGCATTCACTTCCAGGGAAATGTTTTCTAACCAGGAAGTAATCCTTAGGGCATTTTTGGAAAATGACCTCTTTGTAAGTTCAAGATGTCCGCCACGAATTACCTTGTTGAGGCTTTTCTGGCGAAATAATGTTTCATGAAGTTATTCCACGTCACCTGCCAAACTGGTGGCATAAGAGTTACAGCTATTCTGTCCTGGTTCGCAGTAAACCAGGATAATATGTATCTAAACTGAGCAATCAATATAACTTTGGTACCGGAATAGGAGAATAACCGGTGGTCAGTTGCCATTCTTTTATTTCTTTATTTCTTTGGTAGTTACGGCCCGCAAGGATGTGATCATAATGGCTACTAAACTTTTCCTGTGAGTATTAATTGAGATAGGCCAGAAACACAATCGTCAGAGAAAATATCATGTACCATAGTCTCTCGAGAAGCAATCTGTGGCACAAATTAAGATCCTCCAAATTAGACAGCTATATCCCACTTTTCAAGTGTCCGCGGACGTCAGCAGACGAAAATTAGTTTTCGTTTTTTTTTATAGCAAAATGTAAGGGTGAAGTTGTTATTCTGCACTTGCACCGTTGGTCCGATCATGTTCGTCATCCATTGCAATGCATCTAAACGCACAGTCCAATAGCGGACCCCATTTGGATAGGTCATCCACAGTGACAACTTTTCAACCGCTGATGTGTCTTCGTCAGTCTTTCATTCTTTCATGGCAAAACAAAGCCGAGTTCCCTCGAACTGGACATAACGTATACATTGTTGATCAGTCATCTAGAGATATATTTATTTATTCTAACTTGAAAAGCACTTCGCATCAGTGTAAGTTTACCCCACAAGTGAGCAGTGGTTCAACGGGTCACGTGACTCCGCATTACAATTGGCCAATAGCCTTACTCGATCCGCTTGGTCATGGCCATTTCGTTCCATTAGCAGTCCGTTTCTTATCGCTAAACTCTGTGGACTACCAGCCTGACAAGACTTCACAATGAGCAACACTCTGTACTGGTAAGCACGCTAACGTTAGTCACTTAACGATAGCCGATTGAAGGAACTACACTCATTTCCCGAGTGCTCGTTTGTGAACCAAAGTGTGCTGTCAAAGACATTGCTGGAGTGATGCATCTGAATACTTTAAGCTTACAGTGACCAACAGTTGCCACTGGGGAGGGGATGAGCTCCTGTTATTTTTTTGACGTTTTTTTCCCGCGGATATTCTCCTAAGATTCCGATGACTCGCAACTGTGATTAACTTTCTGAACTTCGCTCCTGTGGTACAGTGTTATGTCATTATGGCAGCTCTCGCAAATGAGTTTTAATCATTCTGTTAAAGTTTGAGTCCATCCTATTCCTCGTATTTTCAACTTTTCACTATAGAAGAGACTGCTCACTCGAGAAAACAAAGTAACTTTCAGTCGTTAGTTTTTCAACATTTCAAGATGTTTTACTGTTCTGCTTTTGTTATTTTCATTGGTTATCCTACCTGATTCTGTTCTGTTCACTGAGACGATGACCCACGGGTCGGTTTACAGGGGGAATTGGGACAACAAATATGACTAACTGTGTTTGCCGGTTCATCGTTGGAATAATACAGTCACAAAGTAGAAGTTATGCAAATTTGCAACCGATAGATATTACGAGGTTGTTCAAACTGTCCATAATGAGGTGAGCAATTTTACCTGTTAGTATCTCAGCCGGCTGATAAAGCAAGATGGAGGACTGCCTTCCGTTTCCGGATTTCCGTCGCTCAATCCTTCACTGACGATATCACCTCCACTGGTGATTAGACGTTTGTAATGCAACTACCACGCTTGGTGAACAGACCAACAACCAAACGACTGAACAGTTGCGCCCCACAGCGCGTGCAGTGGGGCCTTTGGTGGCCCGTACCACATAGGAGGTTCATCCTATGCACCCATGTATGGCAACCCACTGCCAGTCATCATTCAGCTAGGCCCATTCAAAGATGGTCAATACAACGTAGTGAGGCCAATAAAGCACAGCCCCCAAATATGAGACACCAAGTGACGAAACGAAAATGCACCCAAAATTGACGTTTTTTGTAGACAACATTTGTAATTACGTACTCAGTATTGACCAACTCGTTTGCTCCAAGTCATCATTACATGATACGATATCAGTATTCGTATATAATTTACTGATTGATGATGGCAAATCGGTGGTGACATTTACAACATGCTCAAACTCCCAATAAGTAGCACGATACTGAGTTCTCACTCCATTCATGTTCGCAAATTTCACTTCATCTAATTCGGTGCTATGGAGTCGTCGATCAGAGCTGTACAATTTTAGTAGCCTTCTGACTGAGTATTCCGCCTAGGTGAAGTTTTCCGATTCTACAGAACCGTCCACATGCTCCTGATCCTGAATGCTGATCAAATTTAATAGCCACGCCTGGACTTCGATAAATTGGTTTGTTAATTCAATGAACTTCCCTAACTGAGGGAATCTCGTCGCATTGAATTTTCGGATCATTCCGATCAGCTGTCATTCTGTGGTTCGAATCAAACAGACAAAACTAAAAACTGGGAGTTCAGTTTTGACATGGTTAAGCATCATTTAGCGGACCTGGTATCTTATGTTCATTTAGGTTGAACAGTTCTCTTTCTGTCCTGTCACGGGAGGGAGACCGATGGACAAGCGAGGCATTTGGGGTGCGTTAAGCTCACGCTGCTGGAGTGGTGACAACCTAATCATCTCGCTCCTTAGATCTCCAGATTTCATAGCCCGGCCTTGTCAAGCATGTGAACCGCTGATGATATGCAATAAAAGAGAAAGGGGAGTACAATGATTCTTCCCTCTGGTATGGGCGAATTAGAATAAGTGTCATAAAGTAATAGGGGTAGTTTCCTTGAAGAACCACGGTACTCATTAGTCTGGCAAAAACTTTTCGAGATCCCAGAACCATTTTCTTCATTCGTGGAGCTCTTCCGGTTCCTTATGTAACATCAGTCTTATGTTTTACTTAAATACCAAATGCTTTTGATTCCATTGGAAGTTGAATAATTGACTGTAATGTGAGGAAATTTCTTAATCTTCTCTTGAAGTATAGTCCACTCGGAGAAGTGAATCTAAGCTGAACAGCCGAGATCTGTAACTCATCAGGAATGCGCATCTCAGGAAAATTCAGACAGTCTCGAACCCGTGATCTCTCAGCTAGTAGTTTGAGCAACTAACCGTTTGGCCACGAGCGGCTGATCAGCAGTGTGGTTAGCTGTCACGTAGACAGGATATAGCGCCACTTATCCTTCACGCAAAGAAGTCACATCTCGTAGTCACGTGTTGACTGGTTAGTTGGATGGAAATTTCTCATACAAAGCTATTATTCACCTAGTGAAATGTTTCTTCTTCTGAGTAACTTGCATACTGGTCGAATTCTGGCATTTCGTAATTTTCAACTGAAACTTCGTTAATAAACCAACTTAGTCACAACTGAATCTCTCAGTTATGGTGGTCAGAGGTGGTATGTTTCAGTTGTGAGTGATCTGAATCACCTATTAACACCAGGTTCATTATCAAGAGAGCATTTATGGCTATTATAGATAATGCTCTGTTTGGGCAAATGTTTGCTGGAAAACTTTCTCAGCGATGTGAACATCATTGTTGAGGTTCCAATACGGAACTTTGAGTGACGCGTAGGTTCTCTAATTGGAGCGCCGAGTCTGCCACCGAATATAAAGCGTTGACCTAGGTAACCCTAGTCTTTTGCAGAAAATCGCCTTGCGATGCACGTAAAAGTGTTTTTTTTTTCAAGAAGACTAGGAAACATCTGATTGTTGTAGGTGGGAATCCTCATAGGACCTTCGTCAGAAAAATTTTGTTAGTAGCATACTACTCAACAAGTTTTTTGTGTAGCAATTCTTTAAAACTCCGAGGGTGGCCATCTGACTAAGTCACATTTGCAGCTAACAAATAGTACACTAAAGTGCAGTGGTTCCAACGACTACAGCTTTGTTTAATGAGGTTGAGAGAATAAGGGAATAAAGCTACGTGTTGAAGGCAATGGACAATTCTCTTCATTGCGATTAAGTGTTTCATATGGCAGGAACTGAGAGCCACGTAGTGGGACGATTGTTTGGATGCGTGACAGCCATATCCATCGGGGTCAGTAACCATTGGTTTGTCTCGTCTCACAATCCACATCTGTGGAAACGACAGTTACCGACCCGCGTTAGCTGGTAAGAGCTTTCATGCTCTGTTATCAACGTATGTACTGACCGCCCCTGTGTCCTCTCCATTTGACACAAGGCTTGTAGAAGAGACAAATGGTCCTCTGGCATACGGAGCACGGCCTAGCCAGGTGATCTATCGACGGAGAGTGTGCTTTTCCGAAGATCTTTGCCTGAACTCAGTATTCCACTACCAGCTAGATTGCAGCAGCTTCATCACCAATCGAGTTGACATCACCGGTGCGGGCTTGCGGGATCCGGTGTTACTACCAATCTAGGGTTTGGGTACATATTGCTTGTAGGATAGGTAGCTTCACAAAGTGTACGGTGTGCTGCAACAATATAATTTGATAGGAAATAGAACCGGAAGGTGTTCAAATCACTTCTAGTTCTACTAGTTTGTGCTTGAAGCCGTTCGTCGGGAGTAGTGTTCAGCTCTTGCTCAGACGGATACGTATTCCAACCAATCTTCAACATTTGCGAGATGCGAAAAATTGACGGTTCCTATCAAGTATGAAGTGGCTGTACGGTACAATTTGATGCGCTATTTAGGTGATAGCCACGTTTGAATTTTCAAATGATAAACAAACATCACATAAACTGTCAGCTTCAACGAGGTAAATCGATGGGTTTTGGCTGATGAGCTATGATACACACTAGAATGCTGTTCAGCAACATATTAAGCACAACGGACGTCTTATTGATGGAACAAACATTCCGTAGTAAGGATAACTCCTACTTTCTTCCGGAAACATTTCAGTCGTAACACGGATGTTGTTCCACGAAGACAAGCTTCGCCTTTTTCTCGCGTTCAACTCCTCGCTGACAATGTTGGAGATGAAGGTCAAAGTACGGGATCGAGTTTATAGCCATGAGAAACCTCTGGTTGGTGTCATCTTTAACTCCGCATTTAATCAGGTAAGTGAATTCTTTCTCCTCATCCTAGGCTGATCAGCTGGTATCAACTTATTCTGGAGGCCCTGTGGTAATCTGCAGCTTCGAACTTGTAAATATAAGAGTAGTTAGTTCTTTAGATGGTTGTGGAAACTGAGCTAATTGTGTGTGTGGTTAGTTTGCTTTATCATCCCAGCAAGTTTTGATGATAGCACTTTGCAGCATTGCTCATAAAAGGAACGCAGATGGTTGGGAGTTTATGTGCACCTGGAGGCGAGTCTGAAAAAAGGAGCGCCTAGACGGCAATACTGTTTGTAAAGAACAACTCGTTAAGGCTAGAGGGACCGTCATTAGCACCGACACCATCAAGGTCGATAGGATACCGCACTAAGTGAGTAGTCAAAATACTTGTAGAATTCGAACCCACATTACTCGCGTTTGGCTTCTCCTTCTTCAGTCCTGGGACAGTAATTCTGAGTGTTCCGCCCCAAACACTGTGACTTCATGTAAACACAGTCTCGGTTCGAGACGCAGATAGCCACTGTCCTCGTTTGTTGATAAGAGAAGGAAGTCTATAAAGTTCTGTCAAGATTTTGTCCTGCAAGCAAAGTCGACTTAAACCAAAAAATCCAAGAAACAATCAACAGTTGTTTCATCCTTGTTATTACGTGTCATCAGCAATGAGCATCTCATGAATCTCCTGGAGTAATTCGAACCCACGACTTCTGGGCCAACAGCTGAACAATAAACCTTTTAAACACGAGCAGCTAATATGCACATCACGTGACCACGTGCGGATCGGAACAGCCGTATGGGCTTTTCGGTACGCAATGATTTGGCCCACGAAAGGAAATCCGGCCGAATTATTGTATGTCAAAGACGTAATCTAACCCAGGGATGCATTCAGGTGTATATCCTCACTCTCCTTTGGAAAAACAAAACATGCAATACAAGAGTTCTGTTCATACGAATCACGTCATCAAGCAGACAGGGTGATCTGTTTCTCAGAATCGGTTAATTCATTAATTCAAGGGAAGCATTGAGATGGAAGTTCACTTTGCCGCTTGTCGTCAAACCCTGACCTTAAACAACTAGTTCTATTTGAAGCGTCGCTGTTACATCATCTCACAATCAGTAAACTCCAGTGAAGTAGGTAGCGATTCATCGGTAACGAATTCTATCTATTTGTACAGTATCCTAGATTGGACCGATGGGTTTTAGCTAATACTCTACAGTCTAAATTCTAAATTTGCTGTTGCTTGTTTCTTGAAAGCAACAGTTTACCCTGTTCGTTGGTGCAAAAGCACACACGAGCCTGAAATGTGGTTGAGCCAATCTTGATCGCATCCTTCCAATGTAAACATCCACCCAACGTTATTGTGGACAAAGCACTGCCAGTTGCTAAAAAATTATGTAGGCTCATAGTAATGTGGCTAGATAAATCGGTTGAAGTACATGGTGCGCAGAATTTGATAAAACATGCGGAATACTTCTTAAAAGTACACACGGGACAGAAACTGGAGAAGTCAAACTAAACAAATTCACTCCATTCAAACTAGTGATAAGGCGACCAAACTGGAGTTTCCAGTGAGTGTGCAGTTTCTGGTGTTGTATTCAAGTTCAAATTCCTCATAATCGGTCTCGTGCACTTTTTCAACGAAATGAGAGGTTCAGCTGGGATTCGGCTAAGACTCCTAAAGAATAGGAATGCAAGTCTTGGTGTGTCGTCCCTGATTGGAAAGTCAAACGGATAGGAAGACAAGACCTATGGATAAGATTTTTCACTTTACAGCATGCAGCACTCTACAATGTATTGCATCTCCTGATCGCTAAGGATGCTAGTGTTGTCACCTTGGACAGAGCCTACAAAAGTGAAAGTGATATCAGAGCTCTTCTGTTTAAAATGCTGTCTGGAATGACAAGTAAATATCTTCTGTTAAGGAAATAATGATCTACCACATCTTTTTCACCATCTTGTTTAGATGCTTGGAACTTTGACGAAATGAATAATTTCATTCATCCTAATTCCTAAGAATGAGTTAGCTGTAAGGGTAGTAAAAGGACCTGTCGTAGTCACATTTTAGTTTTTCAGGGACCGATCCGCGCTACATGAAACCTCTCACAAGCGACTAATTAGGATGTCAATTTTCGGTGCATTTTTGTACCTACCACTACTGGGGTACAAAATCTGCAAGTACACTGTGACGCTGGTGTGGTTTCAGGTGATTTCTGCTTGTCAAGGTGGAACAATCTCCATTTGGCTGGTGGATACGGGGCAACGAGTCAAAAATATCTCTCGGAGTCACAATGACGCCGAATTAACATGTTTGGTACAAGATCCGAACGGTTCCAAATTCTATACAGGCAGCACCGATGGGACAATAAAGGTGAGCAGACCTTATTTGGTTCGGTATATTCTGGTATAACCGGTGCACTCCGAATTTGGCTGCGCATCTTGGTTTCACTGGTCAAGTTTCTTCCCGCTACTGAATAAACTGTCAGTAGTGTTTACCCTCTCGGAAATTTTCCCACCCAGATTTGGGACATGAACGGGCACTGTCACCACACTTTGATCTGTTTCGGAGGAGCCCACGCTGAGGTTGGACAAGTGGTTATTTTGAAACGCGCCGTCATTGTGATGGGTAATTCGAACCACTTCACTGTTTTCCGTACAACCAATTTCCGGGATCACTACGTCTATCCCTCAGAATGGAAAGGTGGACCAGTGAGTAGATAGTTTTTTATCGACCTATTCCAGACATGGTAAATGTGACCACGTATCAGCAAGTAACTTACCAAAGAATTATGCACGACTAGAGATGCCCCACTTTCTGCAGGCTTTTTGTGTATAAATTAGACAGCTAATTACCTCATCCTGTCAGTTGCGTATTTCAGTAGGATTCTTCAAACGGTTTTGATGACACGTCACTACTGTCGCTTCAGCTATCAATGTGCGACAAAGTGTTTATACACAGCCGTTGATGATGCGTGAATGGAGAGCGAAGACCCAGACTGAGCACATTCTGGATACCAGATACCAGCTAAACCTATTCATCATTATTTCTTTGCCATAAGTACACGGTGAAGCTGTCCGGTTTCAATTGAATAGGCCTCTCTCATTGCTGGTGTTAGGAGACTAGATAGTTTCTTCAATGGATAGTCCATTCTGTGAGTGAAGACCTCTTGTGCTGAAAAGCTAGGAAGCACTGTGCAACCGTTTCCTGGGTAGTACACACCTCACAAATCTCCGTGAGCGACTCAGACTCGCGGTTTCCAGGTGATAAGTTGAGCTTTAAACTGTTTGACTATGATTTGCTGACCAGAAGTGTGAGGTGTGAGTGACTAGAGCTGGAGTGTCACTCATCCCTCAGTCACGCAATTCGCATCACGCGGTCATGTATTGATTGGCCTTTCGAATGACAACTTCTCACATAAAATTTTCACTCTCCTCATCATTCACGAACGGGAATACTCGTATCAACAATAGACTCTTGGCTGAGTACGATTGACTTCAAAATGAACGTCAGCCAATGTCATTAAGTTCCGACCAACTCATACGTCACATGACATTTTCTTTTATCGATTAACTTACACCCCAGCATAGTGCCAACCTGTCTGGAATGGGCTAACAGACAGAAGTCACAATGAAAGAAAAAATACACAAACTAATCTTACTGGAACGAGTAACCTGAGCCGAATGAGAACGATACATTTCCTGACACGATGTGACTTATAAGGCTAACGAAAGTTCTTCGAGAGGTCACTTCGGATTAGGTCTTGTGAGGTCACATATTCATAAATGGAGAAGACCAGTACTTAGTAATTGCGCAAACAATTTTGCAAATAACCTCAGGAACATTGCGATGATGTACTCACCGGCGTGGCTTTGCCACCAAATGGACTCATTACCGGATCTTATGACGGCGAACTAGTTGTATGGAACACGAACTCGGAGTGTGCAGCCCGGCGAATGACGCAGCGGTGCAAACGTATGAATGAAGACGTGAGTTTTGATCTTCCCTAGTGCCTTTTGATTGGTTATTCATTCATTTACTCTCTTTAATTACTTTACTTGTCAACAAACGTCAGCTGATCTGAAGAGTTTCACCGAATATATTAGTATGTCGATGAGAGAGAACAGAGTAGTTTGTTGGTGCCTTTTACTGCTTTCGTCCACCAGACCTCTGCAATACCTGGAAGGCTGACTAGAGTAAGTATTTAGTGGAACGTCTGTGGATGCATTGCATGCCACTCGCACGGGATTGATAAACTCTTCCATCGGTACCAAAAAATTTCCCGGACAGAGTATATCTCCTTGCCATCGTGTTCAGGCTGCAATTCTGCTCAAGTTTGGACTCCGTTTCTCACTCTAAAACAGCTAGCAGAGAGCAGCCAAACAAAAAACGAGCTGCCGCATGACGAACAGTCCTGCTTTGAGAAGGTTTAGGATTGAAATGATGCCACCTCCTAAGGCAGAAACATGAGTAAGTTGCCCCAGACGACTAATATCTGCCTTGCGGTCTGGTCCTCAGGATAGTAAGGCCCTCACACCCACATGAGTCCGATTCTGTTGTTTTTCATTTTTGTAAAACCACCCAAAGAAGAAATTCGGCCTGATCAATAGGCCAGAAAAACAGAAGCAACGAAAATCGCTGAAGATTTGGTTAGTGGATTCCAACAGGCAGCCTCATGCAAAGGAGAGTAACGTTTTGACAATACTGACCCGAAACCAGAATATCAGGCGAGAAAGTTGTATGGTCAATCGTACTAGGGCTCTGAAACACTATCCTGTTGGCTTAGCAATCCTAGGAAAAATTGGTCAGCCAATCAACGAAATGCACAGGAATCGGCCGCACATTCATTCTGAGTGGAAGTTCACAAAATAGCTGATGGGAACTCGGAGTTGGGTCTGCCATGGTCGATCACCTAAAAATGCAATAGGCTATGATAAAATAAATGCTCAAATTGTCAGGAAACCATTGCTGTGGCTGCTCACATCATCTCGTGTATAATCTACACCAAGGTTGATTTGCACCGATCTGTTGTACCGTCATCATTTCTGTATGGCGGTGAAAAACTGATACATCAATGATTGCAAATTAAAATGTATGACAGTCTCCATTTGCAATGATTGCACGGGAACCTCTGGGTTCGGAGGTCTAAGATCCTAAACGAATTAAGATCACTGTACTAAGTTGTTATACGAAAAACCGACCGCGTGAAATGGGTGGCCCATATCCGCATTCCGAAACAACTAACCTGTGGTCAGTTGAGAAATAAGCTCAAACCCGATGGCTGTCAAATTTCCGCCGATATGATGGTCTTCAGTTAAGTCAAGTTTGACAAGCTACAGATCTTCCTGGAGAACATTTTCATGTGTAGGCCTGAACAGTTTGCTGGCACAATATCTATTATTGCTTGAATACAAGGTTAGTTGAATAGGTCGAGTGCAACCGCAGCCATATGGATCCGTGGAAACCGTGGATGCGCGTGCCCGAGTAGAATCGGACTCTCTGGTCACTATCAAAGTCAGTCTTGACCACCACGGAAGTACCAGTGAGTTGCCAAAGGTAAGTTAATTCCTACTTCTGACATATACTACTGAATTCATCGTTATACTACAAGATGACAGTACAAGTAACCATCCGGCTAGAGTTTTTTCGTCTAATAATCCGCTTCTAACTGAAGGTTGAAATGATAAACATCCATCAGAAAGCATTGTTACGGTAATTCATTCTGGGAAACAGGGGTATTCGCTTTCTATTTGTAGGAATCAACTGGTGACACCAATGCATTGATGTGAAAGACTCAAGATCAGTAGTCATTTTAATGATATTTAGCTAACTCCTCTCGGTAGCTCTTAGAAAAACCTTCCGTCTCATTACCTTGGGAGTACGTAGATATCAACGGCTCGCATCAAGCTCCATATTCGAATCTACATGAAACGCATGCGACTTAGCATCTACACAAGGAAGTCCATTACCATAGCTATCGCCTTCACTGCGTAGCTTTCAATCTATCTCGCCTCTGATAAACAGAATCATTCGACGTCAGTGAATAGATTAGACCATTACCTTCATTCCCTTATTCGCCTTATCCTCGGTGGACGGCACTGTGGAAGATGAAACCATTGATCTTAGGCGAACGTTTTATGAATTACTGAATTACTGACTGAGTTCAGCCCCCCTCTACCAGCTAATCTCAACGACAGGGGAGCGCTTGATTGCCTGACATAATTACTGAATCGTGATGACTAGAAGACAGGTTTATGTGGACAACATACGAAACCGCATGAATGGCTGTACAAACTCCACCATTGTGATGATCTGGATGCACACTGATCAGTGGATTATAAAAGTATTGTGTGGTCGCCATTATCGTACGAGAGATAGTCAGCTGATCATCTGACTCTCATTCAATAAAAGCTCTCCTGAGGAAAGGTTCCATTAGCCTGCATCAGCGGATCTGGATCCCAGGGATGTCGCAGTAGACTCTCTCTCCGGGATCTTTCATGCTGATAGGATGGATAGAATGCACATACTTCAGCATCCTATTTAACCTCTCCATTTTCTGTTCCGTGTTAGTTCGGAGATTTCTTGTTCAACGTTTCGCGCTTGATCCTGTTGACTGAACGCAAGCACATTGGCTCGGGAAGCAAGAGGGGTGCCAACCTGGTGTCTTGTGGAGGCAACGGCATAGTGCGGTTCTGGAACGCCTATTCTTGCATTCTCATAGGAGAATTCCTTGCTCACGCTAAATGTGAGTTTGAAAAAAGAACTATTTTAATCGTATTTCAATGTTGAAAGGTGGGTGCAGAAGAATATGCCTGGAAGCTTCTATAGAACTTTCCAGACGGTGCACAAGGAAGAGTGTAAACTACTAGACCTCGAGTATTGACGCCGCCGCGATTTTCTACCATATGACGTTCGAGGTGTTCGACGTGAAATTGAAATCGCTTTTTATGGAGATGGTATTCAAGGGATGACCTATTTGTATCAGACTTCAGGTGGCAACCGCAGTGGGGCGTGCTTTGCGGAACCCATAGAATGCTGGTGTTGAAATGATTTTGGTCATTCACGAGTTGGCAGACAAGAATCAAGTCGCCCTAGAGTCATTATAATACCTTGATCATCTCCAGTGTCTGCTTAGGTCAAACTTCCAATACCCAATACCGACTTTCTCACTCATCTTTGTGAATGGTGGTGTGAGGCTAGCCAGGGTTAACCAGAGTTGTGAAACTTGGCTAAATTGTTTATAATAAAAACAGATGTATGTGTTTAGAAAGTGATGTGAAATTTTCCGCCCAGCAAATGAAACTAAGCTAGCAGTTTTCCGTAGGGAACGTCTTTAGGTATCTATTTGAACAGTTTGTCCTATTCCCTGTTAGAACATCAAAATATTATTACTGGGGGATACGTTTTAAAGACTGGATTTTCAGGGGAGAAGTCTTGGTGCAACAATAGAGTTAGCATTTTTAGATTCAGTCAACCCGAAAGTGGTAGTACTCTTCAGTGGTCATCTATAAGAACGACTGCAGTCGTTTCTAGCATATAGACCAACTTCCAAGCTCGGCAAACAGATAAACACCTACCTGACTAACATTCAACAAGCTAGTCCCATCTGCTAATATTTAGATTTATTGTCATTTGTGTTCCGTCTACTGCTGTTGAACTTCCGGCACTTTCAAATAAGCTGTGATTTGTATTTCTCCTCACATGACTTAGAGTTTCTGGTTCTCAAATTTCGTCCATATTGGATCAGTTACCTAGTTTCTCCCCACTAGTTGATAGTCGCACCGCATACATTCTCAAACTACAATATTTTCTTCTGTCCTTGAGAAACAAAAGGCCCATTTAGAATGTACCAAACGACTCCACTAAAAACATATTGCGTTTCCAGTACATTTAGTGGCCGATTTTAGCACACACCTGACGTTTTTGACGACTTCCACGGCAGCACGATGGTTACAGGTACCCTAAGAATATACAGTAGCTTGCACTCTTCATTACAAGAGGTAAAGTGCACATAGATACATAAAAAACTGTATCCACCATAAGGTGAGCAAAACAGTCTGGTCTACCACACCACACCATCTAAATTCAATGGTGGTAAAAGGGTTTCTACTACAAACTAACCGATTCCGCGTCGCCATTAGAAAATGAGCTTGGAGTTCTCTCAGTGGTCAAGTTTGTCTACCCAAGGTACACCATATTCGTGTATAAACCATGTAGTAAATTCCCCATTCACGGCCATATAGAATGCCCATGTTCATCGTACTGAGAGATTCATAAGCTTGTGCTATGTCCCAGTAGTTTTTTGACAGAATCATAGTATAAAATCACCAGAAAGTAAGAAATTCTGTCATAGAACTTTCGAGGAAACAAGGCAATGAAAGAACTGCTGTAGAACAACCAGAAACCAAGTCGTTTAAACCATATGAGAACGGCTCATCTGGATTGGGGTTGTTTTTGTTTACTGACCCAGGTATGCTTCGAAAGTTGAACTTTTTGACACCGGTGAAGGGAAAATCTAGGTCGATAGGATAGAATCTACATGGAACATGGAATATACAGAATCCAACTTTAGTAAACTGCCAACAAGAACTTTACCCAATGCCTGTATTCCTGGTATGTCTTGAAAACATAAGTCCAGAATTAGAGCCATTTTTCTCTGCTTTTGACGAGAGTAAGAGCTTCTTATACACTCCCGTCTATCCGTATTGTAGATACTCAATGTAAGTCACATATCGCTATATTTAAACAGACGTCTGTATTAGCAGGAAATGCCTTTGATTGTTTCCATTAAATGGAACAACGAAAATATTTGGCCAGTTTTCTGTTAACTTCTCCAAATACAAGATGGTGATCTCCTTTTTCTAAGCACAGTCACCCAACCACAATTTGTCGTTTCATCTTTACCATCATCATAATCAGCAGCAGCATCGACAGCATGACATCAGTGTTCAAGACTGATGCTTGGTTGCCTTACAACCATGATTCATTTATAAGCTTTATAGTGAAGAAAAAGAATAAAAGTAGGCAGAAAAGACTTATTGCTAGCTTACTACAATAATTCCGATGTGTCTACACCTCACTCAGGCAATCTGAATGAGAATGGGCAAATAGAACGCCACTTACATCGATTAGCAGCCATATCATACAGTGTCTCTAACCCTGCGTGGCGCGAACCACGCTATATACGTCACCCAAACATTTTGCAATATATTTCATAACCCTCTTCCAGGTCAAGGATTGACAGACCCTTTAAAATATACCAAGACTACGAACCTTCTATCCACGGCTGGTCAGCTGTGTTAACGGAATTGAGTAGTCGCTAGTATGCACTATCGTACAGAAGGTTTGAGAGGTATTCGGATGTTGAAATTATTAGAAATACGCTTAAATAAGCCATTTTCGTCTGAACGGATTTATAGTGAAAGTACAACAACTTCAAATACATTGGACACATCAAAGTGAAATCAACTACTAGTTAAAAGGGAACCATATTCAGAGCCACGAACACCCAAACAGACTGCCATTTAGGACTGAGGTTGTCTAATGAATGTGTAAAAATTACGCACCGCAAGAATGTACGTCAGTGATCAACTGTCCAAATGTGTATGCCAAGTGTTAAGGTGAACTTTATTTGTCCATCACATATTAGTTAATACTGACTAGCTGAGAGTAGCTCATCGCAAGTGATACGGTTAACCACCCTTCTAAATAGGGAACAGAATTCACAAACGGATTTCCTATGCCAGCTCGACACGTGCATTTTGTGTTTTTAAGCCATAAGGCTTCGCTGTTGGGATAGAAACCGGAAAAGGCGTACCTACCAGCGTGGATCTGAAAATTTATTTTGATACATTCACTGTAGTCAACAGGGCCAACTGAGCGCTTCCCCAGGCAACGGGTTATACCTCTGGCACATGATAGTCAGAACATATGGAGCAGATTGTTAGCCGGTCATTTCCGCCTCTGGGTTTGGCCGGGTTGACAACGAGACTTAGAAAACCTCATCATCCACCTTACCTTTCTTGATCTACCCCGACCACAGCGAGTAACATAATCATGGCCGTGGATCCCACCAATGAGTACTTGGCCACCGGAGATGTCGAAGGTACCGTCAAAATATGGAACATCAAAGAATACTGCATGTACGGAGAGGAAGAAGCAACTTTCTTACCACCAGGCAGGTCCATTGGATGTTTTTTTCAAAGTGGTAGGAGAGTTTAATGTCTTGTTATCCCGTTCCTAAGAGCTGAACCTGATCAAAAATGCACAACAAAAATTCTCCCAGGACTTGGAATCACACTCGAAATTCTAGTATGTTTACACCGAATCTATGCATATTCTTTCCGGAAATTGACGCTTTGCGGAGCACACTGACGGTCATATTGTAAGAATTCACCTGGATTTTCACAGCTTATAGTTACTACCGCTCGGTGCGAGTTGCAAACAATACTGATTGATTTGAATTCTTCGATATGTTTGTTCTGCCCACACGTGAAACGCTTTTGCGCCAAATTTTCTCAAACCTTTCAAGTTATATTTGCGCAACTTTCGCTTATGGTCCGCGCGACATGAACTGCTCAACCATCTTTTTATACTTCAAATTGGGTAATGCACCGATTGGTCTCATGGAATTCCATAAGAAAAATAAGTCTATTTCCATTATAACTGTGTATTAGTGATGCATACCATTTCTGCACGGGTCGGAACTACCGGCCCATTCATACACTCCGGCAAAATAGGAAAACAAATACCGTCGGGACGATCAGCCGTAGCAGACACAAGGCGAAGTTGTTTGGCACAAAATTTCCAGTGGATTTCTGAGAACAGGTTTGCACACGAATACTCAAAATGCTGCACCAGCCTCATTCAAATAAAACGACCTAAATCAAATGTCAAATTGGGTATAGCGCCTCGAAGTGGCCTCAGTAATTTGATGAAAGAAACAGTCCAAAGAAAAGCTGTTGAATAAACAGTTTAGCTAAGAACACAACTTATACAAGATGCAACGCTACTCTTCCTTCAGTCGTGGGATCCGCATCACGTGGTCACACACTGATCAATTGTTGGTCATGTATTCGCAGATCTCTTTACACGACCAAAAAATCTATAAGCAGCTTAATAAACATCCCTCACGAGAAGGGTTAAATTTCCATCCAAATGACCGTCACTCGAGAAGCCAGACAGCCTGACCAATTGGCGTGGTTTCTGTCATTAAAAAAGAGCGGGGCTGTCTTGTCTAGGCAAGATCTAATTAGATTATTGATCAGCTGCTCGTATCCAAAAAGATAATTACTGAACCACTGGCCAGAAGGCCATGGTTCGGACCTCTGAGTTTCGTGGGATGCGCAGTGCTCATGATTTCCAAGGAGGATGAAACAGCTGTACAATGGTTCACAGCATATATTGACTTCACTTATGGGACCGTTAAAGATTCCCAATATTCCTCAAAACACCACCACAACCTACGAACGGAGGATGAAACAACTGTACAATGGTTCACAGCATATATTCACTTCACTTATGGGACCATTAAAGATTCCCAACATTCCTCAAAACACCACCACAACCTACGAAGATCGCGCCAAACATCGGGACAACTTTGTTAGCTTATTAGTAGATTGACAGAACCCCAGCGGACCTAAAACAATGACTTTGTTTGCCTCCCACAGTCTTGTTAGCATTGTTCTGTTTGCCTGATGACCAGTTCTCCTTTATAGAAGGTCGGTGTTAAATCACCTAACCATGGGCACAGAGGGGTGATAGCCCACGCAAACCGAGCATGAAACCAAGCCAATTAAGTCCCGATTGCTGTCATATTAGATGGTGCTTCTAGTCACCGAAGTAGAAGTTTAAAACGAGCAATGTCGCTTTAATTGTCTCGTCCGCGTAAGCACTACAAAAGCCGACCAGTAGTTTAAGCAACACGCTATCAAAATTTCCTTTCTATGAAATATTCAGGCTACTTCACTAAGTGAAATACGCTGCCAGAGCTTTCGGGTAGTTGGCCATTTGGAGCAGTTTCTTAGTATTTCATCTTGCACTCCAAGACCACCATATATCCTCATAACTGACGTTTCAGAATTGTGTGCCAAAGGTTTTGTTTCACGGCTGCCATATACTGTGTTTAAATAAGGTATTCTTACTAGGAGAGCGTATCAGGCAAAAACACGACTAGGGGGAGTGGTTTTAATTACACTCCTTAGGCCACCAAGTCACTTCTATACCATGCTTACTCTCATAAAAATAACCATGCGTATATGGATAACAGAGTCTAGACTCCCTCATCTGCAGTATTTTCAGTTTTACACAGTCCTGTCGCTTTTTTTGGTTAGTGTCTCGATTTTTAATAAGTGCTCTTTTATCGGTGAGAGAATGCCGGCCTGCAATTTACTTGACGGAACGCAACTCGCTTTGATATCCCACGACCGGTCTCACCCTTCTTGAAGCGGTACCTCGAATACCGTACCAACTTTTAATCATCGACTTCCCCGACCGATCTAAACCGGACTGACTTCCGAACAGAGGAAAACAGCAAGCAGTGTATGTCAAAATCTTGGGGGAGCGCTTAGCCTTACCCACCGAGTAGGCCCGTCAAGCAATCAGCATAAACAGGGCAGCCACCAGCTTGACTCCCAATCCGTTGCACAAACCAATCACATTTTTCAAGCATGCACAAGTTCTTAATTGGGAGTTAGTCCTATCAGTAATGCTGTCACTTGAGGATCCAATCAGTACTTGACTACGTGATGTCCTTTTTCGTTGATTTACGAGTGGTGCTGTGTCTTGTCCGAGTATGAGCTAACTATACTGATTAACCGCTCGTGGCCGAATTTTTGTATTCAAACCAATAACTGGGTTGCTGCTGGTTCGAGAGCCCCCGGAGTTTGTGAGATGGGTAATGTTGATGATTCTCAATATGGATGAAGCATTTGCGAATGGATTCTCGGCGTTTCGTCATAAATTAGCCTTAGTTACTGGACGAAATCTCACTTTAAGATTACCCCGTCTGCGTACACTACCATCGGTGAACAAGTCTGTTATTTTGTTCGTGATACTTCATATATGTCCAGTGTGTGTGCCGGTGGGTTAGTTCTGGCAAGCCAGCTTCGTATGTCAGATATCCAAAACTCAGATCGCAGGACGATCAAGAGTATGTACTGATTGTGGCCCCTAATTAAGGCGAATACTGAATGTCAAGCTTCAGGGCTTTGATATCAACTAACCAGAGCACCATCATATAAAAGCAGAACAAAGATTGTGCAAAAGACATTCATTCGTATGCTAATTGGTCGAATCCCGCAACCACTAAACTCTCCCGACTATGTATCTTCCACAAGCTGAGTGTGTAGCTGCGGTGTTCTGATGTCATTAACCCGACACTGAACACTCCTTGCTGGACTGAACACTACTTGCTGAGCAGGCGCTTGAATAAGTTCAGAATTATGGTGTACTTTTCTACTCATGGCCCATGCGCTAAGCACTGATCCTAGTCCTATAATTGAAGCATTTTGGTGATGATACTTGATCACGTGAGATTCACTTCACTACCTTAAAGTGCTCAATTAGTTTCCGCAAAGAACAAGAACTTATGGACTGTGTGAAAATCGCCCGCAAACTCTACCCACAAATTTTTTATACTCACGTTTGTTACAGGTGGATTTCAGTGTGCGTGCAAGGTGCTATCCGGAATTACTCCTCAAATTAGTTCTGCGCATCCCAAAAAACTGATCACGTGATTATGGCACCACCATATGTTCCACACCCGACATATTCTCACCGACCCGTTTTGATCCGAAGTTGTTAGAATTTGGAACATGTATAGGCTGTTGATGTGTCACCATAAACGGAGAGTAAATGTATCCATTGCCAGTAATTCCTTCGGCCTCAAAATATGACTTGGGTAGTGCACTCATTTGCAAATCAATTTGGTTTTCACGACAGACTCAACTGAATCTCTCGTTTATGATATTCTACAACTGAATGTGCTGCACGCAGGCCGCCTCATGTTTCAGTTGGCACGATATTCGAGATATCGCAGTATATTTCCTTATGGGAAACTACTCACAAGGTGGCTGAAAACTCTTCAATAGCGCACGACCTGTTTTTGGAGGCGTACCAGGTTGGCGCAGTCAACCATCGACATTTTGTTCCACTTGGACTCAAACAGGATGCGGTTCGAAGAGTTTTCAGCAACTGTGAGAGTAACTAGGCGTTCTTCTTCAGCTCCTGTTTGGCGGATGTTGTGGAGTGTGCAGCAGTGGTTTTCACTTCGCGTTTGGTGATTTGCTGAATTCACTATTATCTGTTTCAGCCATAAACCGTACCCTGAAATTTTCAGGTTTTTAATTTTATCCTCTACTTTTTGAAAAACAATCATGTTGGCCATATGCGGCTCAGTAAGCTAGATTTTTTCAAAAGAACTGGTAATTTCAGTGATCGAAAACTCATTAGAATGTGAAACTATTCAAATAGACTGAAATCTTGTGAGTTTCTTCGTCCCTTTAATTTAACAGAACTGCTGAGTCAGTGGCAAGCTCATGTTGATCTGATCAGTGGTTTGGCTTTTTGTCCGCGGTTCGAACGCCGTATGTTTGTGGTTACCTGTTCGACTGACTGTGGTGTGAGCCTGTGGACTCTGGAAGGACACAAGATTGGCACATTCGGACAGGTCAGTTTCTTTAACCTATGTGGTTTGTACTGGTGAATATCGGAAGTTTTCGTACCTTATGCTGATGCTTTGAAACAATAAGACACCTTTTTATGGCTAAGGTGATATCATATTATTTTTATTGGCAGTATAGTAGTATATTGGTCATTGGCTTGTTCGCTGAGCTGGCGATATTACACTAGTGGTGTTAGACTGAGGCCAACATATAAACGTTACAAAGTCCATAACATAAACTAATGTGTTCATCGACCTTGGGATTTCTTCGGAAGGGCGTTCGGCCACAAAAGATCATTCATCGAAACAAGACTAAGTACCGTAACTCCGAAGATGGTTGATGAGGATAACTTCAGATTTCCTGACGTGGCACAAGTCGGGGGGACGTTTGTCTTTGGCAAATTCTTGTTCTGTATTTTTTTTCGGACTGCACTGTTCACTGGTGCCTCAGACGATTGTCCTTACCCAGATTATTTTGTGCTTACAAGCAGTGTAGCCTGGCCCCGCATCACCATTAGCAGCCACGTTACAGCTGTATTCCAAACCAACATGATGCGAAGCAAACTACAGCCCTCTGCACTGTCCAAATTAAAAGCCGTATTACCACATCGCGTTCCACCTGATGTCGGAACAAGCACTGAATGAACAGTATCTTAAACACGATACGCACCAGCATTTGGAAAGTCCAATCATACAGTGCAAAAAGGGACAAGATAGACAGCCGTCTGGTTAGAACGCTCAGCTGAAATCTCAGATATCTGGATATGTAGATTCGGCATACTCGATTGCTCGGAGGATCAACACATATGGATTTCGTCCTGTAAGTGAAATCAACCTACGCCGAAAAGCTGAGAAGCAATGTACAGATGTTCCATTCTTATTGGGAACCTCACGACCAGCCGTTGAACACTAGCAGCTGAGCCCCTTCTAGTTGGGCGGGTGATTAACGATATGATCAACTTGCTCTAAGACAGGATAAAGTGCCGTCCATCTTTCAGTTAAGGGATCCAAGTCACGTGAACATATCTCGACTGGCTTCTCGAGTCGGGAAGGTTCATTTGCTCTCCGAAATTATTCTTCCTCGGAGCTACTTATTTACTTGATATTCCAAGCTACACACCGCAGGTGGATATACCTTGCTTTATCCCACGCCGCTTAAATATCTTCTTACGACATTATGCCAAATAAAAGAATCAAATAGGTGACATGAAGCGCAGTCGCATAGCAGCCCAGGTTGGAATCAACAAACTATATGGTGCATATACTTTGCTAGTGTTAATGCTCTAACGGAACCCGAAAACCAGTTATACGAACGAGAAAACGGGGAGCACTAACAATGTCCGCTTGTTGAGTAAAATCATTACAACAGATATATATGCAAACAAGGGACTTATCGTTTTGCAGGTACAGTTTGATAAATCCTGTTGTAAATCCGGATGCAGGTCTCGTGTCTTCTTCGTTGTTGTTGGATATCCGTGATTGAAACGCCGTAAAAATCCTGAGCGGCTCTGCTCCGAGCTGGGCGACGTGCGAAGCTCTGTTGAGTTGTGTCGTGTTGCTGTGCTGGCATCCTATTTGTAGGACGTTTGCGTGTGTGTGGGTGTCAGCACATGACTTTTTGCTACCGTATCAGACGGTAGACAGTCGATATCGGATGTGTATCGTGGTTTGTACTATTAGGGAAAAAAGAACGAGGTCTTGGGCTGAAGGGCTTGACTGTGAGCTGTGTAGTCAAGTTAGTCACGATTGTAGCGTGATTTGTGAGTGCAAGGAAAAAAATAGATCTTGTGGTCCAGCGAGTGGCGTTGACCTGTACAATCATGTATGTGGCGAAAGGGTAGCTACACTAGGCTTCTGCAAAGCTTGAAACTTCCAGTCACCTCCGTAAAGTTCCATTTGCTTTCGTCTGCCTCGAGGTACCAAACATTGTTCCGGCGAATAATGCTTACAATCGGTTGTTCAGAAACATCCCCTGTATGAAAAATTCTTTCAACCTTCGCTGCTCAAAGGCTCTTGTTGTTATAAGGCGACCAGGCAAAATATGAGAGCGATTTCTGGAGCAAACGACTTGAATTCTTTCGAAAGTTGCATCCCTTCTTTGTCACAAGTGCAGAAGAGTAGATAGGGATGTAGGCATAGGACTGTGTTGTTTTCATATAATCAGTCAACAATTTCTAGGAGTCGGGAAAATATTCATAAGACGAGCGACTTCACCTCTGTAGGCATTAAAAAAATAAAGTAGCGTTTTACCGTACGATTAGGGAGAATTAATATTCAAAGTGTCCTCAAAAAGTTCCCGAAAGATGGAGTTTTCCATCTTCCTCTGGAATTCTACTGCTCATGAAACGCCTGGGAAGTCCCATTAGTTTCAGAAGATTCTTGGACTTGCCGTTCCAGAAGCCTCTGATAAACTGTCGGCACTTTTTAAGTTTCGAGAATTACACCCATTTGCATACGGATTTGGTTTAGATAGTAGACTCACCTGGAACCCAGCTGAATCTCCAGTTTATGATGTTTTTAAGAGTTTTCAACAACCAGATGAGTAGTGTATTTCGTCTATACGGGTAAAGTTTCGCCTCCGACACAAAAGCTTCATCATACCAAGTGATCAGGTCACCAATTTGGCCAAGTTTTAAGGCGGATGGAGAACCTCTTCAGATCAGCACATTAAATTGGTGTTGAGTGTCAATTAAAGGGTCATGTCGGTTAGTGCGGTTGCCTAAATCTTACGGTTGATGGGTTGAAGTAATTTGTAACCTGTCCGAAACGATGACCTCTCAATCGGTCCCAAACATTTTCCAATTAATTTAAAATTATTTCACTGGGCTTGGTTCCTTAATCTTCCGGTTCAGTGTGCTTTTATTGATGATTCACCCCTGGCTATACTGGTAAACACTGATGATCTGCATGGGATTGGAATCGCTACGACAATTTACTTCAAGGGCCGATGGTTGGTGAGCTTAAGTGCATTTCAGATCTAAGCTACCTCCGAGGATGATTTCTCTTTCCGGTAACCGCACACCACCATGTGTTAGGTCGGCTGATCTGAAACCGTAGTCCACACGTTTGCCAGTTCTACGCCTTCTATTCGATTTCCACTGGGATGGTTGGCGGTTCCCACCGCTTCAGCCATCAGTCTCTGTGGCCTGGACCGTAGTCCCTGCCTCAAAAACTCGACATTTTCCTAGTTTATTTTGTGCCCCGTGTCCGGTACACGATTCGCCATTGCTGAGACTCTCAGTAGCGATCGATATTTATCCGCTTTTCTCGGTTGACTTTATTTTTCTTGTGTACTCTCTGATTCCAGTGTGAAGTTCCCCGACAATCGTAACTGATTTTGTAGACAGTCCGTGGTTCTGTTAGCGGGGGGTGGTTCTTCAACTGCACCGGTGCAGAGCACAGAATGTTTCCCTTCTGTTGAGCGTGGTTAGAATCCTTTGACTGAGTTCTGATGTCCCTGGTTTCTATGGGATAACAGAAGCCAGAATTCATTACATACTGGTTTTCGCCACCGGTACCGAAACCCTTCGTAAATGACGCCTAATCAGACCATCTGGATATCCACTATCTCGAAATTTGCTCATTGCTTCACTTTGGGTCGTTGTCCGGTCAAATTCTTCTGTGAAAAGGCTTCTCACTAGCGAATGCCGAATTCGCATGGGCAGACGAGTAGTTTAAAATTGCCGTAGTGTCAGCTGGCTTCTAGCACATTGTGGTTCCTTACCTATCATGAGGTCTCAGAAGGGTAGTGTACCCGAAGTTGACTCTGTAGCGGACTAGGACCTTATCAGCGTGTTTGGACAAATGAACAAGCAAAGTAACCAATACAAAATCACAGAGTGACAATAAGAAAAGAATAAGTAGTCGAATAAGGACTCACGAATGCGTAGATCCAACACTCCACTACACCGATCCAAATGCAGTAACCGGCTGTGAAAGAAATATTAACTCGTAGAAATTTCTCATCGACGATTCACACGTGTGAGGTTATATTCCATGATAGGAAAGTTATTCACGGCTGAAAAATGTTACGGGATTTATTGTGACGTTCAACAGTTCCCTCGAACACAGAGATCCAGTCCCACTGGTTTAACAGCCAGCAAACAGTCCAACGGAGCGTAAATTCACTCATTCAGCAAGAAGCCAGCAAGTCGCACCGAAAAAGCGGGATTTATTGTGACGTTTAACAGTTCGCTCAAACACAGAGATCCAGTCCCACTGGTTTAGCAGTCAGCAAACAGTCCAACGGATCGTAAATTCACTCATTGAGCAAGAAGCCAGCAAGTCGCACCGAAAAATTGTGTATTGGTAACAGTAAAACAAACGTCATGTTAAAATATGTACGACAGTCACAAAATGTTGTTTAAGTTCAGGTAAAATGGTAAATATGTGACAACGGATTACAGATGCTACAACTCTTTCCCCACACTAAACTCTTAAACTTAGCCTAAAGCGGGAGAAATAGACTTGTGTTGAAATAACGGACGGTGGTGTTTAATCGTACTTCCGGTATGGAGTGCAGCGAACCCCGTTTTCAACGTACCCTTCCTTGAGAGTTTCAAAGGCATTCATTGTTGGAAATTTCCATGCCACCGTGAATCGCGTTAACCTCTATTTTTAGTTCTGGGGAGGGTTTTCATGAAAATGTGCGGCACTTCAGCTGTAGGGAGAGTAGTCTATCCGAGAAAGATCATAAAAAACTGTGGTGTGTGACCTCCCTTTAACCGTCTTGTTTTTGGTTGATTAACTTCAGTATCTGACTGACCTCGAACACTCTTTGGACCCCAAAGTAGTGGCCCACTTTCAAATAAGATCCTTCTCTGTACGCTTCGTGTACTACCTGAAAAACTGGCCACTTAGAAATACGGTTGATTGGCAGACTGTTGTCGTGTATTTATATGGTTCTCGTCAGTCTCATTTCTACCCGGAACGAAAATCACTGATCAGTCACTCCGCAAAGAAAGCGTATCGTTTTTGTGTGTGTGTGTGTGGGTGAAAGGACACCTGACCTGCAGAACAGATCTTTGTACACCCCGTTCAACTTAGGTCAGGGTCCTTAAATTGTATGGGGAATCTAGTAACAGTCCAAGGTGGTAATGTATATGTCGTTATGCGCGCCACGGCCCGGCTAGGGCATTTTCTAGTTAAGTAGTTGCGCTATAAGCTGTAATGGACGAGTGGCTCAGATGTTACCTTTTCGATTGGTTCGATTCTGACAAACAAGTTCCACTAAGTAAATGTTTTCATGGTAGCTCGTATAAGTGAACCTCATTTATTACGATTAGTACCTCATCAAAATAGCGGAAGTAGAGAGAAGTCCTTACCGAGTTGATAATATTGTAGATTACCCTGTTGAAGATCTACATTCAACCTCTTTTGGGAGACTTCAAATTGGCTGCTCGCCGTCGTCTGAATAATGCATGCACCTTGTCCAGAAGCTAGGTCAAATAGGGTTCTCTTATCACAGCCGATGGTAAAGTACTTTTCGAAAGCCACTGAGCTAAAAAAAGTATATATGGGGCCGAAGTTGGTAACCATGGTCATCACATCTGCCAGGATGCCAACAAGCAGCTATCCGTATTCCGCACTATCCAAATTAGTCACTGTTTAGACGTTGTGACCCTTCTTGGTATTTCACCATAACTAGTTGAGTGGTTAACTTGACTACTACAGAATTTTAACAGATTCCGCTCTGTGGGGTTGTTCTAAAATCATTGAGCGTTGCCCTGAAAAACCAACCGCTAGACGCTGGTCGAAAATTCGGTGGCGGACATTTACACATCCTATAGAGCCATTCACTCACTAATTGAACGTGGTTCATCCAGGCGCAGAGACGACTGAGCAGCGGGAATGCGGTCCGAAGGTTTTCTCATGGTTATATGCGGATGCGTTCAACGCAAACATATTGCACTATGGTGCTCTTGCCATGAGATGCTGAGATATCATGTAGTTATTCACGTGGTGCGATTAGTACTTACTAATAATCATGTGAGTTTGGTATGAACAAAGAAGAGCGGCAAGCGGTTTGCTAGCACTAATTGGCTGGCCTTATGTTGGAAATATCGCCATGTTTTTCCGGACTTGGGAGCTTTTGGGTTGTCGATACTGGTCGAGTGTTCTCAGTGGTGTGGACTGGCAAAGAAGAGCGGCAATCGGTTTGCTAGCACTAATTGGTTGGCCTTATGTTGGAAATACCGCCATGTTTTTCCGGACTTTGGAGCTTTTGGGTTGTCGATGCTGGTCGAGTGTTCTCAGTGGTGTGGACTGCGTATGAAAGGCAGGTTGTAGTCTTGGCGCAACCATTGTTCAACTACAAGTTAATCCATGCATTACTCATTTTCCAAGTCTCCCATGCTGAACGTTTTGGCACAACCTTCCCCCTTTAAACCCATCATCAGCGTTCTTGCAGAACCTCAAAGCAGCCATGTATATTCGCGTTTGGCTGCAAAGTTTAACTGTGTTTACATGCAGTAAGCCGCGTATACGATCAGGTGGGAACATCGGATATCCTGGAAGCATTTTTTCAGCCACGCGCTGCAAAGTCACATCGTTCTTTTCTGACATCTTCAGCTGCAGTTAAACCTATTGTAATAATAATGACAGTACAGTTTTAACACTATTTCGTTGCCTAGCTGCCACGTCACTCGAGAAAATCAGGAGGGCTGAGATATTAGAAAGGAGCGGACGGGATGCCTAAGTTGGATTCGAAACATAGACCTTCCGATCACTATGTTCGCACCTTAATAACGGAGCCATCTGGAGCTCGAAACTACCAGTTGAACCTATTCATGCAGCATTCAGACGTAATCACTTGGGGCGCGTTCCTGTCGTACAGCTTCTGTGTTCAGTTCCATTGTATACGGTTTCCCTTCTCAGTAGAGACCCTCTTTGTGATCTCTAGGTCCCCATTCGGTGGGAAAGGGAAAATTCCCAGTTTTGTGTGGCGGCACGGAGAGTACTGGATGAAATGGATGATTTTTTGAAGGATCTTCTATTTCCAAGTTTTGTCGTTTTGTTTATTCCCGTTCAAAAGCTAGACCCTCACAAGAAAGGCAGCATATATGGGATATTGCTAACAGCGAACTGCCCAGAACATTCATCATATCGCCCTATTTCGAACATGTACTGTAATGTATTTACCGTGCTCTTGGAGTCATTCTGCTGCTTGGTGTCCACCTTCCGTTGAGCTGTCTGATTGATCGACGTCCGTTTTCTTGGTCACGTATAAAATAGCACCTAAGGCGTATATTTGCAAGACATTTCGAATAACCTGCGTGGCTGAAAGTGAACAGCGGTACATAATAAATGAACAGAAAAACAGTACGGAAAAAGGGTCTATAAACGTTCGCGATTGCGAGTTATTCCGGCCGACACTCCCTGCGGTAGATTGACAAGAGAAAAAATCCTAGATTCACGAAATCTTCACACATTTTTTCAATGTTACACCACCTGTAAGCCAGCAGTGTGCGGACCGTTCTTCACCTTGTTTTCCTACAGGCTAGTTAATTGTTCTGTTGGGTTTTAAGATTGGTTACACCTAGCCCAATGTGCGAGTAGCCTCTTCATACTTCCAACCTTCTAATTACCCCAACAACTCCGAAAACTGAACCCTTTCCATGGCTGGCCAGAAAATGGAGTTGTTGTCTCGGTTATCAGCATGACCAAGTATTATTTGCTTGCGGTAGATTCTTGTATGACTAATATGGCTTCATGTAGCTTTGAGTGGATCCCTGATTACATTAATGTACTCCGCGTTCATTGAAATAATTCAAGTGTTTTTGCGGATAGTAAATCAAAGTCTGGTCAGAAACAACTTAACATTGTCGAATTACAACAAGTATCGTCTCAAGTTCCATTCGTACTCCCCATCCATCGTCGATGGGAGACTGGCGTTGGGATGGTTTCCTGAATCAGTGGACTAAACTTCCCAGCTATGATAGCACTACCGTGAAACCACTCGGTTGGGTTTTAAAGGATGAGCTATCAAAAGTGATACACGGGAAATCTATTCTTATTACAGCATAACCATATGTCCCAATCATCCTCATTAATAGCGCGAGAGAGTTTAAATTAAGAGATCTAAAACTGAACAGTCAGACAATCGTTATCGTCGTCAAAATTGTGTTAACCAGCCATGTGGTGATCTGAAACTACCAGATGCTGCCTGAGATGCACGTGTTAATCTTCAGAAAAAAACAACTGAAATTATCGTCCATCGATCCCCTGGACCAGTACAGCTGTATGAATAGTTAAACAAGTAATCGGTTTTCGTCCATAGTCACACCACTCTTGTCTGAACAGTCGTCTTCCTCTCCTGGCTTATTTATTCTGGTGAGTCCACACCAAAGAAGGGGAGTATTGAACTCGTGTTTCGCTCTTATTAGAGCTCATCAGCAGTGCATATCCAATGGCCGTGTCGGGATCTGAACCCCGGACATCTGATATGCGAGGTGAGCGCACATTAGGTTTATCCGGATTTTCATGTCTGAGCAGGCAGACGTGTTCACAATTGAGCGATGTGATTGGTGTGCCCGACCCATCGAACGACAACCCAGTTACTGTTTTCACTTTGCCAACTTTTTGTATTTAGACCAACTACTGTTGAGCCCAGTATCCCAGTCATGTGACATGGTTTCGTGGTTCGGTAACATACCGCAAACCGTTGGACAATTTGTTTGCACTGTAAATTCAGTTGTTAATCCCATTGACTATATCTGTTTGAGCTGAACAACAGAACACGTTGAATTTGTGTGACTAAGCAGAAATAAATCAACAGGCCAAGCAGTGTTTGCATTTCCTGATTTCGGAAATTGTTAGGACCAGGGTTTACGGAAGTTTCTGGTTCTTTTATAGATGGATTTCAGATAGAGAATTATCACTAATAACCCTTGTTATTCTTTGTCGAAACGCACGCTAATTAATTGTAACACGCCTCCTCCATGATCATGTGTGTTTTCAGGAAGTCCGCTGGAAACTTGAGGCAATTCACCGAGACATTGGTGCACTCTCCATTGCCAGTTCGGATGCCAGTCCCGTCCAAGCGGAAACAATGTTAGAAAGTGCTGGACCCGACCTCAAGGATCAGAGAGATTCCAGTGAATCCGTATGTGATTCTTTTTATGCGGTTAAAGCTAGATTGCGCTTGTGTACAGCAAGCACACGACCCAAACATTCTATCTGTTCTTTCAAACTCGCCTTCCATCAACAACCGCAGTAAATGGTAGTTGGGACGAATGAATAGTACTCTTGCTATGAAGGTTGTGGAACACTTTCCCTCTTCGATGCTGACTGAGGCCGGTAAATGACTAATCATTCGAACTCTGCCACGAGATCCGGAACAATGGCCACTTCGTTGGTAGCAACTCAATTTTTTTGCGTTCTACTACGATTAATCGCTGATGTCCACCACCTTATACTGAGAAATGTTTGACAATCAAGCTGCACCTAAGCTGGTTTATGTAAATGAATGAGCTTCACTCAACATTGCACCTGGTATTTGATCACATTTATTCGTCACTTTTTGACTTGTTGCCTGTGTTGCGGGTAACGGACCTGCATAGATTGGTTGCATCTTGCGCGGTAACTTCGACTTTAGGAACTTTGATCACATTTATTCGTCACTTTTTGAATTGTTGCCTGTGTTGTAGGTAACGGACCTGCATTGATTGGTTTCATCTTGCGCGGTAACTTCGACTTTAGGAAAAATACCAAAAAATCTAACTTTTCTGTGGACTTTTTCATGGTTTTAAATGATCTGGAGGCGTTACGTTACTCCCTTTTGATGAGAGTATGGAGATTTTGTAAGGAAAACCGAAAATATGTGAAAAGATTATGCTGTAACACTGGTGAGACAGGATGCATTACCTGCGTTTTACTTCTACTCTTTGGGGAATTTATAAAAAGCAAACACATTTTGTGTAACAACAGAGGTGATCCCAATTCCCAACACAACAGTGAAATAGGTCGTTCCTCGTAAGTTTTCAACAAATGGAAATCTGTATTTGAAGACTCGTTTGGAAGTTATACATAAACACGTTATAACAGGATTACAGGCATATTTTCTATAGAGGGAACATCAATCGCTACGGTCCCTCAAGCCAACATTCAATCTCTCATGGTTTCAAGTGAGTTTGCTGAACTTGCGAATCACCAAATGTTCGTGATACTACTCTCAGTGTTTTCTGGGAGGAAAAGAGAGGTTCTTCTAACATTTCTGTAAAAAAAACCAATGGGTTGATTGTCGCTGTGATTTACATCATTTCATTATCGTTCTCCGTCTCACTATCATTGACAGAAAGAAGAATAGGGTGAGAAACGACTGCCTCACTGACTTGCAAACATGGTGCTTACTCATATACTAACTCATCATCTGAACATTTTGCCCGACAGATTACTACACCTCCGTTGGAATTCCGAGTCGACAACATCCAGCCATTCCCCGAGAAGGCATCACTCAATGAGATTTGTGATATCCTTTCAACTTACCGAATCAATGCTTGGAAGCACACACTTCTCGGTAAGTGTTTGTCACTTGGATCTCTCCCACTATTGGCCGTTAAATATGTGTAAAAGTCATTCTACAGAAGCGTTTGAAGCAATGACATTCATTATCAGTGTCATTATTGGTGTCTTTAAATCATTCCTTACCCTCGCTTGTATTTGATTGATCATGTGATGAGTGCATATCTCTAGGCATTTCAGCACAGTAAACCTTCCCAACAAATGCAGTTTTCAATCCGGATAACCCACGTTTCTCGTTGATTAATTTTCATTTAATTGTTTAGCGGCAGCAGCGTATAGCATGAAATGCCGTTTACCTCCAGTGATAGCCAGAAGGTCTGTATCATGCGTTTTTTTAAAAACTCTAATTTCAACAACTCAGTCATTATTATTGCATCAACAATAGATACTTCTTGTCTGATGAACCTATTAGAAAAACCCCGGATAATACCAGATGTGCATATAAAACATTCCTCCCTTTTGAGTTGAGCCAGTTTTTTTTCACTAGATCATCTAACCAGAGAATTAAAGTTGCACTTCCCAATCGGTAGTATCTTGGGAGCTTGTTCTTATCCAGACCTATTCCGGTCTCCCAGCTTTTCATGACTTCGATCTTAAATCGGTGCACCTACCCTAATTTTGAACACCTACAGGACATTTAAAGTCAGCACAGTATTACAACTGAATGGAGCATAGATTTTGTCTAACCTCGCCTCATGTTTAGTTGTGACCGAGATCAACTGGTTTGCCATGACAACATGAAGTGAAGCTCCAGCTTGGTTGAAGAGTATGTGGGTGAACTATGTGCGAAGATATCTCATAAATGAGCACACCTGGGAGTTAATTTCAGTTAGCAGGGGATACAATCCTTCACACCCTTAGTTTTATTAATTAGGTGATTTGGGAGGTCACATCGATTTTGTTCGTCTAAAAGTCTACCTCTTCATCTGCACCATTTGTCAAAAATGCACACACAAGGTCGACTAATGTGAGAGTCGGAAGGTTGGAAACTGGTCGTATAATTTATTGGACTTGAAGAGTGTTAGACTATTCATTTGACCAAATAAGATTTTATTTCTGCGTTGCATCTAGTCACTGCGACTCAGGCTCCTTGTCGTATCACTTATCTACGCTTTACATCAGTGTGCAAGTGAGCCTGAATGCGCGACTTGGTCAAGTCGGACGACCTAACTACTTTGCTTCTCTGTTGAGTGGGTTGACCCACTCAACCCTGCACTAACGATGTCACCTGGATTGGTGACGAAACGTTTGCAATCCAACTGCCAAGCTCAGCGAACAAACCAACAACCAAGCAGCGTACCCAAGCTACCTACATTCCATAACATTGCCAGTACTTGGATTTAACAGGTCAAGTTGCCTTATTGTGTGACATTTCAAAGACCGTAAGAGACGGTCGTAACCTAGCTTAGCGGACGATCCACCTCTGCAACTTTCTGACCTAAATGTCCATCTTACTTCTTCGGGAGCATCAGAGACCACAGTAAGCAAATTCTATGGTTGGCAAAGGAACAGATGATTCCATCACTGATTCAGTCACATTTAACTGCACTACACTATGACAGGTAAAGAATATCAAGAAGGACGAATGCGTAAGCGCCAGCGCAAGCAGCCTCATACAATATCTGAACTGCCTGATATGTCGGGAGAACGTTATGGGCGACCAAATTACGGACCTTACTACGTGAGTTCAAGTAACCTGGCTTGTGGTCTTCACGTTAACAAACAAAGTTTTACATCTACCTTCGAAAAAAGTGTCACCGAGATGGTGAGGGAAAGATTGAGCAAATCAACACCTGAAAATTACATAGTGTAATAAACATTCCATTGATATCGGGAAGAAACCACTAATTCGAATCTGTTGTGTAGTTAGTGCCAGAGAATGTCTAAATAAAAGTCTTCTGGAGACAAGCTCAAGAAACAAGCTCAAAGAAACGTGATCCTTTATTACTCAAAGTGTATTGTTATCAGTCTGTGATCCGCGTAGGACAGATGGCCAATCGTGGAACCAACACAATATCCCTTGTGGATCTTCCTACACAGAGGTGATGAACGCAAGTTCATGCCAAAACTCGATTCCAGCGTTGCAAATCGAACTGGACCAAACGCTTGATGCATCTAAGGTAGTAGTTTTTAACGACGAACTACCGTTATCGTGTGGCGATAGGTCGTCTCAATTTCGAGTTTCCATGACTTGAAGCAGAGTAGCCCACGTAATAAATATACTAGACAAATGTGAACCGGAATTTGAATAAGTCTTAATGCATAATGTGCATCACTCACTCCGGAGATTTCTCCGGCACAGGGCTAATCACACTCATGGCCTAACGGTCAAGTGCTCAACTGCCGACAGGAAGATCGCGGGTTCGGAACTCTTTGAGTTTAGTGAGATGCGCACTGCCGATGATTTCCGATAAGGATGAAACAGCTAAACAGTGCTTCTGGAGTTTTCAGAATAAACTGGCTTCACCCACAGGACGAAATCTCCACTGAAAATTACCACATCTTCTCTCTTCTCTTGAAAAATATCGTTCGGATGAAAGATGAACGAGCAACATCAAGACTATTGCCTTTCATTCATCTCCTATGATCCTCATCCTTCAGTGACCGGAACTGTACCGGCTGGGACTGAAGAGAAATATCCTTGTCTTATGGATGATAGACGATAAACTGCACTGGACTGACCTAGATGAAAGATAACGACGGGCTCTGTCCTGTTAACCTGGTAGCGTGCTTGAAACGGCATAATTCTTCAGTGACCGGAACTGTAGCGGCTGGGACTGAAGAGAAATACACTTGTTTTATGGATGATAGACGATAAACTGTACTGGACTGACCTAGGTGAAAGATAACGACGGGCTCTGCCCTTTCAACCTGGTAGCGTGCTTGAAACGGCATAATGTATTTCATCTTTAGCCGCATGTGTAGTTTAGTGCACGGACGAACAAATCTGCTTGCTAAATGTATGCAGCACCTACGGCCCCCATTTTTCATCCAATATCTAACACGTTAAGGTCATTAGGTGACGAATAAACTAATCAATCAGAATAAGAGCCGAGTACAGTGAGGGGACTATACAGCTTAAGGCTGTCAGTCATAAAGACTCTCAGTGGTGCTTATAATGTCGTAAGATGTTCGCAACAGTTAGTATGTTTGCTGCTGATTTACAGATTTTGTTAGTGACAACCACCAAGGTCGAGTATCGACGGACGAATCGAGTCGCCGTACGCTATGTTATAACGGTTGGAGACACCGTTCATACCTGAACAGTCTTTGAGGTTGGGAAAACTACTGCTCTTGAGTAGCGGGTTGGCCATTTCACAAACGGGAATGAGATAACGACGGTGCCCTTTCAACCTGGTAGCGTGCTTGAAACGGCATAATGTATTTCATCTTTAGCCGCATGTGTAGTTTAGTGCACGGACGAACAAATCTGCTTGCTAAATGTATGCAGCACCTACGGCCCCCATTTTTCATCCAATATCTAACACGTTAAGGTCATTAGGTGACGAATAAACTAATCAATCAGAATAAGAGCCGAGTACAGTGAGGGGACTATACAGCTTAAGGCTGTCAGTCATAAAGACTCTCAGTGGTGCTTATAATGTCGTAAGATGTTCGCAACAGTTAGTATGTTTGCTGCTGATTTACAGATTTTGTTAGTGACAACCACCAAGGTCGAGTATCGACGGACGAATCGAGTCGCCGTACGCTATGTTATAACGGTTGGAGACACCGTTCATACCTGAACAGTCTTTGAGGTTGGGAAAACTACTGCTCTTGAGTAGCGGGTTGGCCATTTCACAAACGGGAATGAGCTTTCCTTCTGCTTCTGAGGGTGAGGATTCTCAAAAGGGGTAAGTAGAGAAGCTCCACATATCTTCGTTGGAGCGCGTCCTTCTGGAAGTTGCTGTATTCCAAGAAAACCTCAGTTGGACTCTTGGTCGCCTTGCACAACAGTTTGAATCAAATACCTCGCGGCAGATTATGTGTATATAATGCGGTCGAATAGTGTAAAATTAGACATTGCGCGGGTGAAATTATTTGACACATTCTAAATTTTCTATATGCTTATCCTGAGGATCACCTGGCGACTACGGCTAGGCCTTTGTGCCTGGGTGCCCCATGTAGAGTGATCAATCTCGCAGTTCAGGTTCTCGTAGAAATGGAATGAAGAAAGCCGTACTAATCAGTCAACAACACGAGGACCTACTGTATCCCGAACCTCAGATCTACATCGGCGCAACATTCATTTTGATCTTGTAAGATACATGTCCAGTTCAGCTTATCAAGCCCCGTAACCAACATGAGTAGGTTAATGTGTTCAAATGTCCACCACCGCAGCTTCCATCGAGAGAATGTGTTTCTGATTTGCTCCTCATCTTTTTCTTTCTCTGTCAACTAAACAAAGTATTTACAACTCAGTTCATTCGATCCGATTGAGGATTTGGAACAACCGGATTTCATGGAGCATCCGGAAGATTATTTCATGGACACAGAAGAACTGAACTCATTGAGCAACAGTGCTGACATCCCGGTTTTACGTGAAGGTATGTGACGCCGACTTGAAAAAAGTGCTTGTGTTTTCAGTTGGAACATTTGCTACAAAATGACAACTGATATAAATGCCCAGACTCCGAAATGCCATCATTCTTACTTAGTATCGGAAACTCCAAGAATGTTACGAACGAGGAATTCGAAGGACTTCAGCCTTAACATTAGCTTATTTCCTGAATGTGGAGAGCTCCACAAAGGTTTAAGTTGAGGTTCTCAAACAAAATACGATGAATGAAAATTTGATGATTTGACCTGCCCAGAAGAGGGCAGAACTACCCGTAGACTATTCAGGAGTTTGGGTCCAACTTATAAATGGTAGCAAATCGAGGAAAATTCCCCATGTCAAATGGAGTATGAAATGACCTATGTTAGCGCTTTTTGTTAGAACCTTCCTAATTTGCAAATGAGCGTTCAACTCCATCAAGTGAGATAGTTTTAAGCCTGAAATTGCTTACCACCATAGCTGATTAGTGAAACAAATACCGGATCAGGAACACAGGCTGTTCAACAAAAGTGGTGCTTTCTTGTAGGAACACAACGCATTTGTTGGTAATGCGTTGGAGTGTTCCGAACTTGGGTGAATTCATTTGCAGTTGGTCAGGCAGCGGTTGATATGTTCACCGAGGTTGACAGTTGACTTGCAAAGTTTTCGTCACCATTCAACGAGAGACCAACAGCGTAACTGTTGACGAAGCATCTGCAAGTCAATTATCAATCTCTTCGAAAGCATCAAAGGCCATCCGGTAAACTACGATGAAGTATTTGTCTCCAGAAAACCTCTTTTGTAAGACAACGGAATTTATTGTTCTTACGCAATGTTTTGCAGAGGACTATGGAGGCACTCGGGATCAGCATAATGTCTACAACGAGCCAGGTATGTTGGACAATTTTGGCTGTTTTTACTCGATTGCCGTGAAAGTGAAGTTACTTTTTCAAACCAGAATACTCTCTTTTCACTACTTGTCAGTGTTTACTAGTTTTTGTCCCTGCCAAAAAGAGACAGGCAAGTATTTTGTGTATTCGTGCGCCACACTTTTGTTTTCGTTTGACATTTCGTGGCATAACTCGTGACTCGACCCTACGTGAAACAAGAGGGCTGGTGATCCATTTGTTCGCTTATTTTCATCACATATCATGGTAAAACCGTCAGTGGGTTGCTTCTCAGCGGAGCACACCAGTGCGTATGTTGGGAGTGCTAGACTACTTATTTGTCTTGAGTCTTTTCCGAAACTTGCCTGTGCTACCATCATTAGGAAACAATATATGTATCATACACTGGGTCGCCTCCGCATGTCTGCCCGCCATTCAGCCAAACAACACTAGTGAGTCTCACTTTTTCAGAAGCAGTCACCTGGCTGTATCGCTGACGTCACCCAGTCTACTAGTTCCACCCAAAATATCCAGCGAAACCGCATGCATGATGTGCAGGACCATACATGTACACAACTGTCTTTGGAACATATTTTGCAGGCGATGAGAAGGTTTCAAAAGATTTTTATTTTTCAAACCAAGTAATCTGCTCGGAAAACCCTACGGACCGCACTCACACCCCTTCTGAAGAGTCGTCCCCAGAAGGATCCACACAATACCAAACCATCAGAGACAAAATAGGTGGTTGAACGATGAGCAGATATCCGTTCTGCTCAAATTTAAATGACTCATAATCATCAATTTGTCTATCGACTGCTGAGTGAAAGGTTCAGAGTACGAATCCTCATAGAGGTTTGTCAGATGCGCACGGCTGACGATTTCTGAGAAGCAGTGAGTGGCTGTACAGTGATTCTCGGCCTTTAACGGACTGATTTAACCTGCTTTAAAAATTTCAGTTCATAGAGGTTTGTCAGATGCGCACTGCTGACGATTTCTGAGAAGCAGTAAGTGACTGTACAGTGATTCTCGGCTTTTAACAGACTGATTTAACCTGCTTTAAAAATTTCAGGGCCAATAAATTCGAGATGAATGGTTGAGTGACGCCTTTTGTGGATTGTGAAACTCAACTAAAATGCGTCGCTCCACACCTCTCTCGTTCCGGGAATTGTAAAAAAGCACAAAAGTTTGCTTCTTGATCCTTGCGCTTGTCAATTACTTCTAACTAGAAGGACCCTGGTTACAAGGAAACACTTGCAGATTTTTTAGGGATGTGCGTAAGAAAACGATCCACCGCCGGCAACGCTCCCTTGTTGCACAAACCCGTTCGCTGTTTTTGTCAGGTTCTTAAAGGAAGCACCATTTTGTGGCACTTAAGCAGCTTTACTGAAGGTTAAAATTGAATACAAATTCACAGACAAACAGTGGGTCCTGCGACAATGCACCGCATCGAATCTTTTCGTCCCTTCACTCAAACAGTGGGTCCTGCGAAAATGCACCGCATCGAATCCCTTCACACAATATATTAGTTGGTACTGAAACACTTGCAACGAAGTTGCCAAGTCTAACAAAACTCGGTGACCGATTTAACAACTTGATCAAGCAGTATTTTCCCCTTGATCAGTAGCTAAACTGGAATAAGACATTCGCGAATATACACTCACTTGAAAACTAATTTGGCTTTTCGACAGACTCACCTGGAACCCAGCTGAATCTCTCATTTGTGATGTTCTCAGCCAATTTGGTTCCAAGTAGAACATAAGGTCGACGGAAACCCGGGGACTGCACCTACATGATGAGCCCCAAGAAGGGCGAAACCGGTCGTGGGCTGTCGACGGATTTTCAGCAAACTTATGCATAGTACATTACAAAGATAGAATAAGACATGTTTAATAGCTCGCACCTTAGACACGTAATCGGAAGCCTCTTGAGATAACCTGAATACGGAAGAAATAACCCTGGGGCTGGCACTTAGAAATGTTCCAAGCTCTATCATGACATTTCAGAGGCAACTTGAGGATATCACACCCCAAAGTTTTCAGATTATTGATGTATTATGGCAATATAATATTGTAATGTAGTAAGAAACAATATAATGTAACGATATAATATTTATTAATATCGCATAATATGGTTTATTTGATTTGCTTTCATGTAATGTAATGTGACATAATATAATGCAGCACGCTGCAGCATAATACAGTATGGTATGAATAGCTTGCATCCGAGTCATGTTTGCCGAACAGTGTAATAATATGGTACTCATAATAACATGAAATGCGACGTAATCAGCTTGACCATAATTTTTTTTCGTCGCTGAAAGTACATGGAAGTTCTACATTCATGCTGGTTTGATTGGTTGGTATGGCCCTGGCAGAACAGGAGGCAGACACGTTCTTTCCAAATTAATACCCTCTTCTAGTTACACTAACCCTGGTTATAAATTCGCGGCAACTCCACGTAGTTCTGCAGAGATACAGGATGTTCGCAAGGTTTTTGAAGTGGTTCTAGCTAGGCATACAAGCATCCAATCATACGTCTTTACGAAGGTACGCTAATAAGGACCACACTCCCACTGTGTATTGTGGAGCCTGATTGCCAAACCTGGTGGTCTATGGTCTAGTAAGTTGTATGATAGTGCGAATCCAAAAAAACACCATATCCTCCAATTCCAACTTACCAAATTTCTTCCAAATCCTGAGAAGCAGACAACATTGCTCTTACGCAAAATGGCCATTCCACGGGTGCCATGTGTTCTCTCAGCTGTGCACTTCTGACGGTAGTTGTGCAAAAGTTCACCCGGAGCAAACGCTTGGTAGCAGTCGTTTTTCCAGCGTCATTTTATTAGACAGATTATAAAGACGGTACACAAAACTTATGGAGGTGGAAGATGCTGGTCACAGTGGATAAACGTTATGATTACAATCTCAAGAACGTAAAGCACTGTCGGGTGAGAGCAAGCAACCTGCCGTGAATCATGTAAGTGTCATTAGGCTCAGGCCATTGTAAAAGTCAAGTGCCCCAGGCATACGGGCTGGTCAGGTAATGAGCTGAACAACCAGGAGGTGGATGAACGCAGAAAGGCCTCATCATAACAATAAAACGGAAGCTTTCGTGGGTAAGGAAAAGGAAAACACCAGTGCCCGATTGAAGTTCCCCGCAAACGAGTCTAAGTGAAACACAGACAAACTAAACTCTGGCTATTTCGAGAAATACACTTATTTGCAAATCAATTTGGTTTTCACGAGAGACTCAAATGAAGCTCTCGTTTACGAGATACTACAACTGAATGTGCTGCACACAGGTCGCCTCATGTTTCAGTTGGCACAATATTCGAGATATCGCAGCATATTTTTATAAAGGAAACTACTCACAAGAGTTCTGAGCAACCTTGTGAGTAGTTTTCTTTATAAGCAGTTGTTTCATTCCTACCGGTAATCACCATCACTATTTCTTGTTCAAGCTAGGGTTTTGAAAACAACTGAAACGAGCGGAGCTAGAAGTGAAGTATGGTCTCACTCTCAGGCACCTGAGCAGAAGTCCGTAGGTACGCTGCGATATTTCCATTAATTCACGAAATGTGAACAGTTTACAGAAGTTATTTCTGTAGAGAAAAGTTTCGGTTTCGCTTGACGGTATTCCGCCTTATTTCGAGAAGCGACCGACGTAGGCGCGGAAGCTGATATCCAATTCGTCACATCACCATCCCTAAGCAAACAGTGCCTTACTCTGGAAAACCTGCGATCAGTTCTGCATATTCATCCAGGCCCAAAAGCCATTCAGGAACGGATTAATGGTTTCAAACTACTACACTCATATTTTTCTTATTTTAGAGGTAAAGAAGAAAATTGACGAAACCACTCTGTTTCCCGGCTATCTGCTTCAGTTCGAAAGACAAATGCTGCGTACCAATAGATTTATAAATCCAAACAACCAGGTATGTTTTCGGCTTATTGACTGTTTAGTAGCTTATTACTGTGGATGCCTGATGATACACTTCACTGAACATTATAAATATGTATGAAGGGGCTGAATATACCCGTGGTAGTCATGAGAACGAAGAAGGTAGCGAACAAAGCTTGTTTTCTTTGATTGTTCATCTTGGCTAATACATCACAAATTTATATGGTAGCAGAGATCATGTGGAAAAGGTTAAGATCGGGGCTACATACACTTTAGAGAAATATAAATCAAAGGAAGGGGGGCTGGATGAGGGAGAGGTCAATGGGTCACGGAATCAGGTAAGTGACGTCAATGTCGGACGGACTTGTGGGACCCGATGTTCAGAGGTCGCACAAGTATGAGTTGAGGCAGTGGTGTATCCGTAATGTCTGTATATGTTTAAGTTATCCCGACTGCTGGTACTCCCTATCCGTCTTTGAATCGAATGATTCATTCGCTGCCCGGGGTAGTGGCGCGGCAGATCAGCCGTGTATTGTGACTGGTCGAATAAGTACCGTACTGACTACATACTAGCGATAAGATTAAGGAATATTCGGCAGTAGCATACAACCGATTTCGTCTTGTTTGAGACCCGTCAGACAGTACTTTCAAACTGAGAGACTCAGATAAATCCATCGTGTGGGACGTAGACCCACCGAATATCACCACCACCACCGTCAGTAGTGATTAACTGTGTACAGGTTACACAGCAGTAGAAGATAATCTTGACGGAAACTCGAGAATTGTACCCACCTGATGGGTCATAAGAAGGGTGAAACCGGTTGTGGGCTGTCGAACAGTTCCAAGTGACCTTATGAGTAGCATGTTACGTTTATACGACGGTAGTTTTAGTTGACATTTCTCACCGACGCTGTGGGTGGGATAAGTGGAGTGCAAAAGTTGTTCCGAGGTTTACTTTGAGTGCTACGTGCGATATCCAGCCCTCTCCTGGTACCTTGTGTTACTAATGGGGCTTATGAAAACCCATCATGTACGATTTATTTACTGGAGCCCCACATTTATATTATTTCAGTGTATAAGTGACAACCCACTCGTTTCTCCGAGTACAATTTAGGTAATATTAGTTCTGGAATACTGAAAAATTGCAGTAACTGAAAGCAATGGTCTCCTCGATTTAAATTACATTTGACTGCCGATTAGCTAGAATTCAGTACACTTCACCGTCGACTCTAGAGCTAAGGAGCGTGATACTGATGAGGATATTTGGCCGATCTCTGTGTAGTGGCCTGAGAAATAGAGGCAGCCTAGCAAGAAGAATTTAGATTTACTGGTCATTTCACGGATAATCAAAGGTTGCCAAATGGAATGGGGAAAATAACGAAGAGCGCCAACTTTAGCCTCCAGAATGGCATTTCACTGTATCATGTGCGACATTACCTCTTTACTCAGGACTGTTTTCATTACCTGGCTTCCGTAACCCGTGGCTTAAGGAGCGTACTTGTTTGTTCCGGTTATTCAGTTTCTTCACGAAGGTGTATTGTGAAAAGTGCATCTGAGTTTGACCGCAGTGGTATTCAGGATTTCGAAGTATTCATCCTTAGTGAGCAATATAAAACAAAATACCCGAGATGGTATTGCATAGGCCATTCGGAGCATGATTTCCTGAGACAAACTCGTTAGGAGGTTGTGGCAGTTCGTAAGCTGATGTCATGTGATTTAAAGGCGATATTCGATTGTTTAGGCTGCTAGAAAAAAGGCAAGCCAAAGTGGATTTCCTCATAAGATGTGTTCGCTGCCACCTCTCCAAATATTAGCAACTAGACAATCGATCCTGATTACCACTTAGTTGCTGGACTATTGTAGTTCTAATTGGCCCCTGGTTCGAATCCAATTTTCGTTTTGGTTCTATACGCTTTAGATGCAGACCGACTCAGCGTGTAACAAATCACCGGACGATGCACAATCAGATATGACAACTCAGGCAAGCTCCATCCTGAGCGAGCAGTTGCCACCGTTGAAAACGAAAGAAACTCGCCGGACGAGTACGCAAACGTTTCGAAACAAAAAAGAAAAGGATAAAGTCATGAAACGCGGTCGAACAAAGTCGTCATTCTCTCGCCCGTAATCCCGCGCTGCAAAAAAAATCATTTTCGTCCCATTTTCTCGGTACATTCAACTAGATAACCTGTCACAAATGTAGCTCAGGTAAAGTGTAATCCAAATGGACGAACACTATGCTTTCTGGGGTTTTCCCCCTCCTGCAAAATATATGGTTTAATCGATTTTCAATGACTTCTAAAATTATCAGGCCACATACAAGTAAGTATAAGTAATATGATATCTAACAATATTTTATGTATATATTATATTATAACATAATAATATATAACAATATAATGTATGCACAATATATCATCAGTAATATAAATAAATATCGGGGATTTTCAGCAACCTCGTGAGCAGCATATCCCGTCAAGAATCGAAACCTCTAATTCTATTATCCGTGGTTAGTTTAGCAGCATATCCCGTCAAGAATCGAAACCTCTAGTTCTATTATCCGTGGTTAGTTTTAGGTCCAGTTTAGGAATACAACCACGCTCCCGGGCGACCAATCTTGTGGTCTTTACAGGGGCACAATGTTAATTGCTAAATTAAATTCTTATCCTTTTTCATGTTCATACCACTTCGTTCATTTACTATGACAAAATAAATAATTGAATCTACTCTCACGTGTATATCACGTGCCTAATGAAGCCCGCGCCTCCAACAAGCATTTGTGAGGAATTCGATCCCTTTTCAAAGAGCTCTGCGTTTCATAGAGGTCCGTTGACTCGCGTCTCATGTTGGAAAGATGCTGATGACAGGTACATGCGTGGTATAGGTGAGCGAACCCGAACCCCTATCATGATCAAATCTTACGCATGAAATCCAACAACCGCTCATCCAACAAGCCAGAAAAACAGAAGTATCAGCACCTCCAAATCAGTTTATTAAAATGACGAGTTGAACCAACTCCACTCTCATAAAGCATATACCCATTTAGAGTCCAGGAGTGGTTCAAACAGAACTGTCGCTTGTAGCCTGACTATACATTATTCAGATACTCCAACACTTGTGTAGAGTTTTATCTGGTGTCAGGCGGTTTTCAACTTGAATGCCATGCATTTCGATTCTGGATCAATTTCGAGGACATGAAAAGCCTTCCCAGTGACGGAGTGGTCTTCATTCATGCAACTCTACAGGGAATGACTGTAACTTTCCAAAACTTCCGTCTATGTTGACTACAATTATCACTGCTGGTATAGTAGTAGTAGAGATGGCTGTTGCGGAACGATTTTTCCGTCGGTCATAAGCCTGTGTGACATCTATGAGTAAACGGGCTGCACACGTGACGTAAGTAATCACCCAACCAGCTATTCAGGAATGAACCATTCTGCGTTGCTCGACATGCTCAGTTTTTTACGGTTGTCAGTAGTCTTTCCAGCTGATCTGTTTTCCGATCAGATAGCTCTCACTATCGTCCCAGGAATCCCCACCAACCAAACCTACAGGAGACTTGTCACTTAAAGCCCACGGTTTCGCACCCTTTTTTGTATTGCGTTTGGGATTCAAACTGCTTCCAGTGCTTAAAAATGTGACTATTTGGTTAAGCCTATGAAGTGCTAGAAAGGATTCTTTGACTACCATTGTACAAATCAAATGGAGCTTTTATAAACACTGTCTAGCCATATATGTACTACGGGTAGGTCATATGAGTGGTGCGGGCCATCAGAATATCCGTCACATACCCTGCGGGCTTGAGCTGACTAATAGTTGTGACTAGCAGTGGAGTTCAACTGGTTGCACAAGTGGATCGTCCCAAACCGCTTGTGCAATTAACTAACTACCCTGCGCACAAGTCGCTCGAAGTAGCTTGATGTGATGCAGAGCACTGCACATCACTGTATGCTCATTAACTATTATTCAAAATCCTTTCTGCCTCGGTCGGTCACCCTGAGATAATTCTTTCAAACGGGGCAGATATGCACTTGTGTTCTCCTCAACAGACGTGCCACTGAAGGCGAACTTCAGAGGTCTCTCCAGGACAACAAAGGGTGATGGGGTTTTCCTCTTTCGAGGAACAACCTACAGGGATTTATTGGGGGTGGATCCTTTTGATACATGGACTCTCCTAAGAGGGACTTAACTACTAGAATGACCTACAGGTGATCAACCACAGTTGGTCTCATCTGAAGTCTCCACAGAGGAAGGAACTGTAGTTGTGTGGAAACCACAATAACTGAAAAAACGATTTTATCACCATACACTTAAGGGATGCCTGCACGCATGAAAGCCGAGTACCCGGATGGCTAAACTCGACCTTTACTACAAGGGGATTGTACACCATGGGAACAGTAAGAGAAGTCTTTACTGGGAGTTGTAAGATGGTCTCTCAAAATATAATCGTTTTAAGTCAAACCTGATGGTATTGGGGTGAAGTAGCTCCAATTCGGGAGTAATCTTCCCTGGGGGAGACTACTATATTCCCGTCAATGGGGGTGCTACACGCAACAACCACTCAGATAAGTTGTTCCTGATACTACACCTTAACTTTGGCGCACATTCTGTGAGAATGATCAAAACTTCTCCTTGTCCTCTTCCAAACAGATCAGTTTACTCACACCGATATATCTACCGGAACTTCAGAAGTGCATTTTGATAAACCACGTGCAGCCCATGCCAACTTAATTTATTGTCGCGCCAGGCCACTTCAAGACACACCCGCATGATTAGTACAACCGACATATCATTCCAAACGTCAAGACTGCCAGCAGGTTACCGGACGTAACCTAACCATGGGTCAAGCATGAAGGTTGATGGGTTCAACCAGACAGCCAGAAGATTAAGCGTCTTATTTGTAGTTCATACGTCGAAAAAATCTTATGCAACATAACTCCCGTCTATTTCTTTCAAGACTTCCAAAAAACACTCGGCCGAAGTTGCTGGAATTTATGAGCAAAGCCTATTTGCTGGAACTTTCTCTGTTCTGTGTATCACTCATCAAAAAAAACCACATCATGTGTAATCCAAAATGGCTAGCCAGATCCAGAATTAGGTCGTGCTTGCATGAGAGTCCACACGACAAGTAAAACACCTCTAATTGCAAGACAGCTCTAATTTAACGGTTCGACTCCACCTAAGGATAACAGATGTGTTCCATTAGTGAAACGCGAGCATCATAGGACGCCGAAATAAATAAATAAGTAAATAAATGAACAGCACAGATTGAGATAAAAAAACAACAGCCGTCCTGATTGACAGGTTGCGTCCAACAAAATAGTGTAAACAACTGAATGATCACAGAACTGCAACGAGGGTGGATGAACACAGAGATTAAGTCATCCCAAAGCTGCACAACGTGAATGAGACGTGAAGGATGGTAACGAACTCCGAAATCCGAGTTGAGGAATGAGCTAACGATACATAAACCCACTAGATATTGCACATGGTTTGTGGCCGAAATTCTCAGTGGCCACGAGTTGTGGGAAGTGGACTGTGGTAAGGGAGAAGCATGATCGGAGCATCTTAGTGAGAAAAGAAGTTCTGAAATTTTCTCTTCAAGCAGTTCTCCCACGACGAAACCGCGCATCTTCCGGTCGGAATGTTGTCGCTCTATTATTGTTGATAGTTATGTTTGACCTTAAGGAGGAACGGGTGTTATCCAAATTACGGGATATTGACGGAAGGTGCTCTCCGGGAACTTCGTCTAGCGGCAAAACGCCTACGCCCACCCAACCCTCATGAGCAATCAGGGAAGCGGCTGGAACCCACTGCCAATTAGCGAAGGCTCCTTGAGAAGTTGGTGCTGTAGACGGGCGATGTCGGATGTGTGTATTTACAACAGTATTGGCCTGGAGCGAGAAAAGAACAATATTTACGGATTGGTAGTAGAACAAAGAAAGAAAACCTCCCTAAACCGTTGTTGCTCACACATGCCAGGGGAAAAACTAAGCATCCTTCTTTAGCACGCACCCACTGAAGGGGAAAAATCTGCGGCCTAATCCGAGGAAGAGTTCGAGACTTGAACATGGAACATACTAATAAAAATTAGCAGTCCGGTTAAATTCACCAAGGGTCCACAAAGTAATTGTACCATTCCATTTCTTCGCAATAAGTAAAAGAAAACGCTTATTTTCTGGACACAATCACAGGAGAACATAAGAAAGCATTTGAAACACTCAGCCTTAAAGAGGAGTCCAACCAATACCCTGGGTGGAGGGTTTGGTTGAGGAACACACGGCTCATGCACAGTATTAATGGAATTTTACTTGCATCAGGGTCTTTTCAACAGACTTTGTCTGAAGTGAATATGCCGGATGCCCAATACTGTTGTGAGTTCGTAATTCCCACATACTGACAAAACAGGTTTAACTTGCCTAGTGTTCCTCAGACTTCCTTATCAGGACCAGAGAAAACTGGTGGTCTTCAAATCCACCGCCTAAATAGAACCACCAAGCACGACATATGATCAACTGGACGTGTTATTATACAGTTATCATTAAAGGTAGTAAGAGAATTAGTAATTTATCTTGCGTTGTTCCATACTACCATTCAGTTGTATCACCAATACGGTGGATTAGTGTATCGACAGCTCACAGCAAGAACTTTTTAAAGTGAAAGGCAATTCAGGAATCTGCATCCATCGCATGGGAAGTTTTTATTGTTGGAATTAAATCAGCTATTCCTTCGGTCCGCAGGAGATGTTCACTTGACAGGAGAGTGGAACAGTCCAGGTTTCCAAAATCGACTCTTCCATGAGGAGGTTCTCTATTGGAAAGATCACTCTCAGCATCTCAGAGAGGAAAGGCTATCGAAGTTTCACCTATTGTGGAATGTAGGTAGCTCGGGTGTGCTGTTTGGTTGTTGGTCTGTTCGCCGAGCTTGGCAGTTGGATTGCAAACGTTTCATCACCAATCGAGGTGACATCGTCAGTGCAGGGTTGAGTGGGTCTCACTCAACCCACTCAACTCGACCCACTCAACCCTGCACCGACGATGTCACCTCGATTGGTGATGAGACGTTTGCAATCCAACTGCCAAGCTCGGCGAAGAGCACTTTATGACTATTATTTGAAATAGGATTTGTTATTGAGCACAATGGTCGGCCTTTAATTGGTTCGGCTACTTCTATCTCGAATTTGGAGTGCCTAGCTTGAAAGAGGGGAAGAGGAAACGATGGATATTGGTGGGGTAGCTTAATAAGGACTTTGAGTACCGAATCTCTTCGATAAAGGACATCGAATAAAAGATCCAAAATGTGGGATGTCCCTTTTCATAGGTTTTGGGGATACGCAGTGACAATCAGTGCATTGACCCTAGGCCTACTAAACACTAAAAGGGGCAACTACGTAATAAATGAATTTCTCAAATGGTCCAGTAGAGGTGTCTGCTTTCCAAACGCCTTTGAGCGGTGTACGTCCACACTACGATAGACCAATATTTCGTCAACGACAAGTCTCCATCATATCATCATCATCATCATCATCATCGACAGCAAGACATCAGTGTTCAACACCGATGCTTCGCTGCCGCATCATGTAGCCGTATTGCTTCCGCAAACCTGATGGTTCCCTTACGTGGTGAAGCCGCTCTCCTAGCAACTTCTGTCGTTTGAAAAGTCAGCCTGATTCTTGAGGGTTACATTCCGCACAATTCTTCACCTATGTATGGACTAACCACGATGAGAATCATGGTGATTCCTCCCATAGTTAGAAGTACGGCTGCATATCAGCTGGCTTTGTCGCGTTGCGAATACCGTAGAAAAAATTTCAAAACACCAAGTTAACAGAGAGATCAACATCACCTCTGGACTGCAAGAACACAGAAACACGAATACCGTACCTCGGTCGGTCATAGTAAGAAGGATGAGATAGAACCCATCGGTTTGAAGAGTGATGACGTTCGCCTTCATGACTGTTATCGAGATACCTTACCAACGCACTGGCAACCTGAACACACTTGTTTACAAAATCCGCCAGTTGGCGATGGAATGTCCATTTAAAAGAAGATTTTCGGGCTCGTGGGTTTTCCCCTATGTTCGCGCTGCTATGAACTAGCGGCGGCGAATTCGTAGTGGGACGATTGAGAAAAAAGTGTGCGCTGGGGGATTAGGTGTATTTATAGTTCAGGACTGTTATCGAGCCTACCGAGGATTCGGAATACCGAGCCCTGAAGACACCCATCTTTTCTGAGGCTGATGAATATTTCGTGTTATGCAACATATGACACGGAAGGGGAACAAAAACTATCGCGAAAAGCCGTGGTGTGCTGTCTTCTGGTATGCGGCCCCCGTAACCCTCCCCGAAATCGTTGGTTGCAACGGGCGGATGGTTAATCCCAGAAAATCGGCGAACTCCTCAATAGGAGAATATGCTTGTCTTGTAAAATCGTAATAAACGTGGAGTGTTTTATACACGTATATAAGGTTTGCAGCTCTTTAATTACAGCAAAATAGCAAAATGAGGGCAATCACGAAAGAACGCTCTCGTGGCAGTTTCCCCTTCAGACGAACCTTTGAAAAGAGGCCACTCCAAAGAAAGGCTACTCTCCTAAACATCCTAGGAGAAGGCCAAACACTCTTGAGATGACTACGTATGACTGATTATGAGGTGCATTTGACTCGGTTTAGACACGTCGGGAACACTCGGTCAATTCAGTATCAAACGCATCACACTCCAAAAACAAGGTAATTTACAGTATGAACAGGATATGCACCAACTGTAACAACGTACTTCCAGTTGACTGATAGTCTGCGAATCTTGCGAATGGCTAATCGCAGCCGATGTGGATTCTGTTGACGCAGAATCGGTGTCACCATCAAAGTCTTCATCGGAACTGCTTGCAACGCTGGAATCTGGGTGGCTTAACCCCGAGCTGGACACATTCTGGTTGGCAATAGTCAGACGAGAGCCGTCGTCGACAGGCGTTCTGTCGCATGCACTGAAGGTATTCGAGATGGGTTGGAAGCACTCTACAGTTCGAAGATGCGTCATCCCATCGTAGCCACCTGTGAACAAAGTGTCACAGTTCGACCTAGTCAATCGTGGTGCAACGAACAAGAAAGCATATAGTTTGACAAATAAACGGCAAACAGCCACCTGCCCGAATTTTTTCAGCAAACTCCCACTACAGACTGTATTGCGACCGATTGCAATAGAGCCAGTCCAAAGTTATGTAAATAGTTTATCTGCAAGTTTTGATGTAAACGTACCAAAGGTGGACGGCACCCCGATAGACTTACATGTATATCATTTGATAAAAGCTTCTGTACAACAAAAATCGCTGTAGACCGGTCGGACTGGCATGTCAGTGCCTTATTTTCTACTGATGTGAAGGGTAGGAACGCGGATATATTGTGCCCAGTGTTCAGGACCCGGGAGAGTTACTGAGGCGCTAACAAAGCCAGAAGACGTTTTGTGGGTAACGGCCTTTGAAAGACATGGCGGAATATTAGTTTTATCAAGCAAACGAACGTACCTATTGCATAGAGCCGACCACCAGTGACAGCCAACCCCACGCGAGACCTCGGGACAGATAAAGAAGTGATCTCAGTCCATTGACCCATCAGACCGTTTATATCCGGTCCGGCAGTTGGGTCAAAAACTTCTACGCTCCGCAGAAAATTGACTCCGTTGTATCCACCGGCGACAACGATTCGATTTCGCAGCGCTGCTACACCGTGACGACATCTTCGATGGATCATGCGCCCCATTGGTTGCCAAGGGCTAGACTGGAATAAGCGGGCATGCAAGGTCCATCCACTGGATTGCGCATCTGTAGTGACCGGTCGAGCCGTGGGACCGGCGGCACGAGGATTGTAACACTCTGTTGAGGAATAGATGGCTAAACCGTTATGGCCACCGACGGCATAAAGGCAACCGTTGCTTAATGCGACCAGGCCTCCGGCTGAACGCGGTTCATTCATGCTGGGAATTATAAGCCACCTAGGTGGGAAAAGGATGGATAAGAGAGTCACGTCGAATTTTATTTACTCCCAAACAGAGAAACGGAGGACAATGACTGAGCGAAAAAACGTGGGTATCCCTCTGGTAGCCGTGTACACTATGTTGACTTGGTGATGAGTGCGGGCAAATAAGCAAGACTTCCTTGATTTGACTCAGTCAAACGCTCCGTTTAACGGCTAACAAAAACATACACGAAACGCTCACTTCATTTCTCCGCTCAATAACACTTACGGATGTACAGGTAT